TTCTCATCTATTGTTAGTGCTTCCTGAATAATAGCAACTTCATGAAATAATCATGACTCTTTTGCATTTGTTGATTTTACACTGGACACATAGCCTAATTTGGAACATAACTCAAGCTCTTCCTAATACTGTTCCCTTCACCCTTATTCTGAGCACTGTACCCAGCAGTCAGCTGTAGTTCTTACTCAAACCTACTGTTGGTAGCTTTGGAGTTCACGTTTTCATCTTTCCTATTATCACATTTGAAAAAATATTTGATCCAAAAAAAGACTTCAGTCCCTTTCATTAGAGAGGTCTCAACTGGTAAGAAAATAAGGGTTTAATGTGACAGAAATTTGATCTTGTAATTATTCAAACTGCTTTTTTCCCACAGTGATTTCTAAATCTTTAAAAAAAAAAATGTCCTTTCATGGGGGGGGGGGGGGGGGGGGGGGCGGGCCTTGCTGCCCCAGCCAGGTAAGACACTGGCAAGCAGCTAAGAAAAGGGCCTCACACTGTGGGGCCAAAGACTTTTAAAGAGCCTCACACCATGGGGCTGAAGATTAAACATCCCTTTGTTTTTTGTTCTTGGTCATAATAAGAAATAACTTCTCAGTAAATACATTGGGCAATAAATTATATGTATAAGAATATTGTAAGTACATGGCACGGAGAATTAGTTACTTAAAAATTAAACACTGAACAATTTGGACCACTTGACAATGGGAAATAATTACTGTGCAAGAGCATGTCTGATAAGCAACCCAGAGCTGGTCATAATATTCCTCATATGAAAGTTCCGTAAAGAAGCCTCGTAATGAATCATGAATGATTACGCTAGTGGTTTCTAAGTAATTGAAAAAAGTTCTAATAACTGATTACTGGGAAGCAACTGGTCAGTAGCTGTAAGTCATATAGATAGAAGAGTCTCCTGATATTGCAGCCTTGGTGACAGGGTGGTACCAAGGACTGTTGGCTGATCTAGGTAGTTGTTTAGGCTGAAATAATGCGTCTAAGTTTTAATTATATATTAACTTTTAAGGTTGTTTCTTTTCTCAAAAACACATAGGTGACAAAATGCTATGGGAAAGGAGTGTACTGATTGTTTTATTTTGCTTCTATGCATACAATGCTGTAATCCCATCGCTTGCCTTAAACATATAAATAAAGACCCCCTGAGACCCTCAGCAGGAGATGCTTGCACCAAAATAAGAGTGTTTTGTATCTGCCTCACCTCCCCTTCCCTTTCCCTTCCCTTCCGCCCTTAAGAAAGTTTCGCCTAGGCTGTCTCATCCTTTCAAGGACACCTGACCCGTCATTTTGCCAAAACTGGTCTCCCGCACTTTCATGAAAACAAGGTGTTAATGGTTAGAAAAGAAAAATGGTGAGTCCCTTTCTAAAATGAATAACTTGAGGAAAGTAAATAAAAACTTATGCTTGTTGGGCCTCCCGGGTGGCGCAGTGGTTGAGCGCTGGGTTGCGAAGCTGCCCGTGGCCTCTGCGGCGCCGGTTCGATCCCCGGCTGCTCCCGGCCACCGGAGGAGGGTCCCACATGGCGTGCAGACCTCTCCTGCCGCCCGCCCGCTGCTCCCCTCAGCAGTGTACTTCAGTCCTTCTGCCTGCTCTGCTCCCTGCTCTGGCTCTGGTGAATTCTCTCACCCTCCCGCGCTTCTGACTGTACCCAGTGCATGTATAAACAAAACAAACAAACAAACAAATAAATAAATAAAACATGCCTCTATAAAAAAAAAAACAACTTATGCTTGTTAAACTTTTTAATTTTTGCCAATATTATAAGGATGAAAAGATGGGGCAGAAAGAACAGCTTATAGTTTTTAGACACAACTTCTGACCTATTATTTTGTATTGAGGTTATGTTGGTTTACAACTTTATATATAATCAAGGGATAGAGATTCACATTTCTTCAAATATATAAATCTTCAAGACTAGGAGAGGTTGAATTGCCTAAAATACAGAATCAAATATAGAGAAGCAGGAATAAACTATCTGATGAAGAATTCAAAGTAATGGTTACAAAGATGCTCATCATTCTCAGAAGAATGGATGAACTAGAAAATTTAAGAACAAATCAAATAGAAATCACAGAGTTGAAGGACAATGGAATAATATATACAGTAGAATACATCAACATCAGACTGCATGAAGTAAAGGAATAAACAAGTCAGTTGGAAGACAAGTAATAGAACTGATCCAGATAATAGCAAAATGTAAAAAGAATTGAAAAAATTGAGTATACCATACCCTAAGTGGAATAATATTCACTTACAGGATAGCAAAATGAGAAAAGTGAAAGGGCCAGAAAAGTTACTTGAAGAAATAATCACCAATAACTTCCCTAATATGAGGGTAGAAGAAAACATCCAGGTACAGAGAACTTAAAGAGCTCCAAATAAATAGAGCCCAAAGAGGTCACACCAAGACAAATAATTAAAATGATAAGATTTAAAAGAGAATCTTAGCAGCAGGGAAACTCCATAATCCTGTCAGCTGATTTTTGGGTAGAAACCCTGCAGGCTAGAAGAGAGAGGCATGACATACTTTAAGTGTTGAATGAAAAAAACATTGCCGGGGATCAGCCTCCGGCAAAATGTCATGTCAGGGGTTCCTGAAAGGATGAGACAGCATCGGTGAAAACGAAAGGACTGAGGGGAAGGGAATGAGGTAGAATGAGGAGACACTGACACTTGGTGAGGTGCTAGTATCTTCTGCCGAGAGACTCAGCAGGCCTTTATTTATTCCTTATTAGTAATAAAAAAATACATTATCATGTGTAAAGCAGAAACAATTAGTGTATTATGTTCCCATAGACTACTGGCTCCTACAGGTCCCAGCTAGACTGTAACCTTCAAGGTTAATAGATAAAAAACCAGACCTAATGTTAGGGGGAAAAGGATGTCCCAAAGCTAATTCCATACAGGCTTTGTGGACTCCACCCCCACCCCAGGTCAAAGCCAAAGACACTGGGAACTCCAAATCCCATCACCACCAAAGGGAAGGTGGCTGGGACCTGAGGGTGGGGTTAAGCAGCCAGGTGGATATAAAAGGCAGACACGTGGGCTTTGGGGATCCCCCATTTTGGCTCTCCGCCAGCTCGCAGCATCTGGCCAGCTCTGAGAGTGACTTTGGGTTTCCAGGTCGTCGGATCGGGTAGGATGCATTAAAGACTTTATTTCCCTATTTTCTCCCTGAGTTGTACATTTTCCTTATTTCCTTTTCTCTTGTAAATAAACCTTTTATTAACCTTTTGTGTGTGTCTGTAGTAGAGTATTCATAAGTCCCTTTAAAGCGCGCGGGTGAGGACCCACAGCTTGGAACCCATTTAATATCGGGGCTGCTCTATAACACTAACACTAAAACTTATTATTTCAGCTAGACAATTACCTAAGACAGTGGATAGCCACCAGTTTCTATTTAGAAACTCCTAACTAACTCAAATAGCTTCATTTAAAAACTTTCCCAAGAAACTTCAAGGGAAGGCAATAGAAGGACCTACTATAATTATTGTATTGTAATGCTTGTCAGGCATGTTCAATAAATTGTCTCCCATTGTCAAGTGGGCCAAATTGTTTAATAATTAATTTCTAACAGATAATTTTCTGTGCCATTTATTTGTAGTATACTAATGCATATAATATAGTGCCTAATGTACTTTTTGGGGAATTTTTTTCTCTTTTTATGACCAAGAACAAAAAGTGAAGAAATGTTAAATCTTCAGCCCTACGGTGTGAGGCACAAGGAATCTTTGGTCCCACAGTGTGAGGCCCTTTGAGTTTCACTGCTTGCCCAGTGTCTTATCTGGCTGGGGCAACAAGGCCTCCTGCAGCAAAACATACAACAAAAACATCTATACCTATCAGTTACTATTCAGCATTGAAGGAGAGATCAAGAGTTTTCCAAACAAACTAAAGGTGAAGGAATTTATTGCCACTAAACTGGCCTTACAGGAAATGTTAAAGGCACTTCTCTAAACTGAAAAGAAAAGGCACTAAACAAAAACATAAAAAAACTCACTAGAAAAGGTAAATTTACAGTAAAAGTAGTGAACCAGTCACCTAAAAAGAAAGTGAAGATTACAATATGAGAATGGTAAAATTAAAACTGTAACAATACACAACAGAATTTATATAACATAAAAATGACATCAAGTAATAAGACATCAAAAATATAGAACAAATGACATCAAAGATACAAAACAAATGGGACTCCATCAAACTGAAAAGCCTCTGCATTTCTTTTTCGTTTAAGAATGAAAAGGCAACCTACTGCATAGAAGACATTTGCGTTGTTGTAAAGCAGTATCACCTCAATATAACAAAAATTAACAGACTAAGAGACTTGTCAAAAACATCAATTATACCATAATATATAAAAGAAGGAAAGCAAAGAAAAAAGCAGAAAAAAAGAAATTATGACCCAAACTTCCCAAATTTGATGAAAAGCATTAATCCATGCATCCAAGAATTTCAATAAATAGCAAGTAGCAGAAACATGAACAGATCTATACCTGGCATATAAAAGTTAAACTGTTGAAAAAAATGTTTTATTTGTGAAGAATGCCTTGTGAATTTTGATAAGGATTGTGTTGAATTGACCAATATCTTTAAGTCAATGACTAAGTTTTTTAAATATTGACATTTTAATATTAATTTTTCCAACCCAGGAATACTGTCTATCTTTCCAGTTGTTTATGTTTTTGATTTCCTTCAGTAAAGTCTTGTAGGTTCTTTTTGTATGGCTCTTTCATTTCCTGGGTTAATTTACTGCTAAGTATTTTATTGCTTTTTAGGTTATTGTGAATAGGATAGTTTTTTTTTTTTTTCAAATATTTCCTCATTAGCATAAAGGGATTAAACAGATTGCTGATATTCAGTTTGTATCCTGCCACCTTCCTGAAATTGATTACTTTCAGCAGTTTTTCATAATGAATTCTCTGGAATTGTCTATATAAAATTACATCATCTACAAATAGTGACAACTTTACTTTTTTCTAAACTAGATCACTTATTTCTCTTAGAGTTTGGTTGCTGTAGAATTATCATTTTTCTTTTGTGATATCATATTACCATGATTTTTCATAGTGTTTGATGAAGTGTGCCTCTATCTCATTTGAAATAATAGACGCCTTTCTTATTTAAAGAAGGTTTTGTTTACTTTGCTTCTAGTAGTTTATGGGTCGTCAATTAGAAACCTTGCCTTTGTTTTCCATAAGGTGGTGCTATCACTAGTTTGGGGCTTGAGCAGCATGAACTGTTGAAGTTGGGTGCATGCCTTAAAAAGCTGACATCACAAAAAAAGCTGGAGGCAGTGGAGGACGGTATGGGTTCAGTAATTGCGGATTTGGGTGTGCCCATAGTGTGTCAGGGGATCCTCAAGTGGGAGTTATCCCAAAGTCCATGAGTGACTGCTGAAATCCTGGAACAGATAACAAGAAACAAGTTCCTTTGACTCTGCTTTTTTCCAATCCCCAGTCAGAGTTTCCTACTCAGAAATCCAGGTTATGCTATAGAGCAACAGGTCCTTCAACTATAGCCTAAGCATTTTCATTTTCCACTAGCTGTGCAAAAGAGTGTTGCCGATGCTGCTGCCACTCCCTTATTAAACGGTCACCTCCTCTGCAATCCGACACACCTACTTCCAGATGCACAGATGGATGGACCTCTCAAAGTGTTCTGCACAGGCACTTTTGTTCAGTTTTGGAGAATTATTTGTAAACACAGAGGGAGAGAAAAAGGAATGACTATTGTCATCATGATGCTGACTCACTCCCTATTTTTCTTATTTCAATGGAGGTGATTGAGAGACTAAAAGGAATCTCTTCTGAGATTTTATCTAATCAGGACTGAGATGAGATTTAAATGAAGTACAACAGGTATGTGGACAACAATAGGAAGGCAGGAAGAATTAGGCAGGGAACCTAATGGAGGCCAGATTCCAAGGAACAATTGCAGGTGCCTGTTTTTCTTTATGGAATATAAAAAGAAAAGAGACTCCTACTTGGAAGGTCAGGTTTTGTCTGAGATCACTCTTGTCTAGATGAGTTGAAAGCTCAATGTGGCTACTCATAGCTCCACAAAATTCTAGAATCAAAATACTATTACCTGAGTTCTGATTCCAGTATAGCAGTGTAATCCTCCTTCAATTAGTCTTCAAACATCTTAGGAAAAAAAGACTATTATGAATAAATCATTTCTTACAAAATGGTAATAATGTATTTGTATTATATGGCAGTTCCAAATGAAATTCACATAAATCTCATTTCTCACTTTCACCACTTCAGATAAACTTATCTAATGAGCTTATTTTTGCACATTTGCCATCATAAGAAATATGGAACAATAAAAAGAAAAGCTTGGTTTATTTGCTCCAGCACAAGCACTACTATCTTTTTGAAACAGCTAGTACTAAATATTCTTGGTGTGTAACAGCAGTACCTACATGACTTCCATACTTACAAGTATCTTTAGTGGAGTATCCTCTATGCATATTTATTAGCTAAGGAATTTGCTCCCTAGAAGTCACCTGATTGCACTGATTCAAATTCAAGGCAAGGCTTTAATTATATTTATCTCATTTAATTCTCCCACAACCAAGTAAAGGGGTTATACTTTGTGACTCAGCAGCATATGCTGAGTATATTTCTTGTTACCAATCTCATCTTATTCTCAACCCTCCTTCCCTCTACAAAGAAAATTAAATCTATGGATTAAAAATCATATATCTTCTCCAGTGATAAGCAGTGACTTGAGGGAGGTGAACTTAATAAAGACAATTTAAATTCCCTGTGAGAGCTGTTTCTCCCCTCTCCACAGTTCTTCCTTATCCCTCCTTCCCAGAAGGGCACATGCGTTGGAAGAAGCCCAGTGTTCAGATATTGGTGGAGGAAGACCCTGTTAGTCTGAACGCAACAAAATATAATCCTTTCTCAATTTACATAGCAATTGCATTTGTACACAATTCAGTAGTTTGTACAAAGCAAATATTGAGTTTATATGCAAAATGGGAATGAAGCTGAACACTCAGGTAGTTTTTTTCAGTCACAAAAGTACAGAGGAATATTAGAAAAATTGTGCAGGATTCATAAGTTTTTTTGTGTTACAATGCTCCCTACACCAGGAAATGTCTTCTATCCCTAGCTTTTACCTTTTCTGATATACTGTGACAACCAAAAATACTCCCCCACATATCCAACCCCACCCAGAACCACTTCCCTATCTCCACTTGGGGTGTGTGGGTAACACAAGGGCACAAACTCAATACCCATCTGTAGAGGCAGGACTGGACACTGAGCAGGTTTTCTGATCCAGCAGACCAGGTAAAGGAGGAGTCAGAGTCCTCAGTGGTTTTGCCGGTTTTTGTTGGGATTACCAGGTACAGGGCAGGCAGGGGTGCTGGGAGGCCTCCCAGCCCTCAGCAGGTCTTCACTCTGGGCTCTCCCGCCTCCTCTCAGCTTCTGCTGCTCTTGCTACTCTCTTGGCTTCTCTTTTGGCTTCTCCTGGCGTCCCCGTGACGCTGCCCTTAAAAGCCCAGTCTTAGCCCAGGTGAATCCCATCTACCTCTGCCCACACCCTATTCCAGGTGCCCGCCATCAGGCATGCATTCAGGACCGCAAGGATCCATCCTCTATCCTGATGGCGGGAGGGCAGGAAAGCCTGACATTTTTCCTTACCCTACACCATCTGTAGGGGCAGGACAGGCCACTGAGCAGGTTTTCTATGATCCCATGCAGACAGGGTAAAGGAGGAGAGAGTCCTGGAGACCTCAGCGGGTTTGCAGGCTTTTATTGGGATTTACCTGGTACACAGCAGGCAGGGATGCTGGGGGGCCGGGAGGCTGGCAGGCCTCCCAGCCCCCAGCAAATTCTCACTCTATCTGGACTCTCCGGGCTTCTCTCACGTTCTCTCTGCTCTTCTTATGGCTCTGCTTCTATCTCAGCTTCTCTGCTCCTCTCTTGGCTTCTGCTGGCGTCCCCGTGACGCTGCCCTTAAAAAGCAGTCTTAGCCCAGGTGAATCCCATCTACCTATGCCCACACCCTACTCCAGGTGCCCGCCATCAGGCATGCATTCAGGACCGCAAGGATCTGTCATCTATCCTGATGGCAGGAGGGCAGAAAAGCCTGACATTTTTCCTTGCCCTACACCATCTGTAGGGGCCAGCAGGAAGGCACAGTGCAGATTCTCTATGACCCAAACAGACAGGTAAAGGAGAATTCTGGAGCCCTCAGTGGATTTTTTTCAGGGCTTTATTGAGCGTTTACCAGGCACATGGCAGGCAGGGGTGCTGGGGGGCCAGGATACTGGCAGGCCTCCCAGCCCCCAACTCATCTTCACTCATTCTGGGCTCTCTGGCGTTCTTTCGTGGCCTCTGCTTCTCTGATGGTTCTGCTGTCTCTCTGTTGCTTTCTCGTTCTCTGCTCTACTTCTGCGTGATGCTGCCCTTCTAAGCTCAGTCTCAGCCCAGGTGTGCCCACCTATGCATACCCACACCCTACCCCAGGTGTCTGCTATGAGGCCTGCATTTAGGACCACAGGGATCCATCATTAATCCTAATGGCAGGAGGGCAGAAAAGCCTGATACTTTTTTCACTTACTCTACACCATCACACTGAACTTTTGCTCTGAGCAGGTTCTGTCCTATCGTTATTCTGCCATCAGGTCACCATGATGCTAGAATTTAAATCACTTTGTAAGATGTTTTAGTTTGTGTTCTCCCAAGAAACAGACATAGGTGCATGTAGATCAAAGAAGTGCTCTCAGGACCACCTGTGAGGGAGTGAAGAAAGCATGATAGACCAGGGAGAACCTGACCTGTAATACTGTGGCCACAAAGGCCAAAACTGTATGTATTGCATATGGAAGAAAGGAGCTGGGACTCCCAGAATTGTTCGACTTAAAGTGGTTTTGCTGCCACAGATGCAAATGTAGCATAACACTTAGGCAACTGTAGCTGGGGGGAGGAGGGAAGCCAAGCTGGTGTTGTCCAAATTGCTAAATAATCTGTTCTCTCTCTGAATAAGTTTTTGATGAAATATTGGTAAACAGAAGATGGAATGTTGTCTTAATCTCTTTAGGCTGCTATAACAAAAGAGAAAAATATAAGACTGAAAAGTCTATAAACAAGAAATTTATTTCCCAGAGTTTTGGAGGCCAAGAAGTCCAAGTTTATGATATCAGCACATTAGTGTCTGGTGAGGCTTCCCTGCTTTTTCACTGTAACTTCATATGCCAGAAAGGACAGGGAATTTTCAAAAATCTCTTAGGAGAGCACTAGTCCCATTCATCACCTCCCACAGGTCCCACCAGCTAATATCATCACCTTGGGAGTTAGGATTTCAACATATATATTTGAGGGGGTCAACATAAACTTCAGTCCATAGCAGTGTATTTCTTCGTAACTTAATGGTAGGGCAGATGAAATAGGTGGAATGGCAAAGTTGAGAGAGCTCAAAGTCTTGCAAAGAACTTCACTGGTAACACACTACCAATACTGAACATGCTTATTAGTTTTCCCTTTTAAAATAAGTCTTTCATAATAAGAAAGTATTACAATCCCTACTTTACAGATGAGAAAACTGAGGATCAGAGGGTAAGTCAATTTCTTTCAAGTTCCCAGAGTTAGTAGAGGAGTTCATTATTCCAATTCTCATCCTTACCATATATATTCATTCCAAGGTGCGCACTAAATTTCAGTGGTGAACAAAAACATTATACTTTAGTATTAAACTTTTTCCCCCTGTTCTCAAGTTCCCTGGGGCTGGCTCAAGTGTGCCAGTAAATTATCAATTGAATACCTCTGTCAGAGACAAATCCTAACCTCCCTATATAAAACATACACATGCACAGATACAGTTCCCATCTCAAATACAATCCCATAAAATTAGTTGATAATAAAGGACTTTTAGAACTTGGAGAATTTGCCAACACTCTCCTTTAGCATTATTTTGCATAAACATCAATACTTATCTTTTAAAACAAATACCCTTAGTATCATATGCTAATCTCTTAAGGGCCTTTAGATAAAAATGGATAGATACATTTAACACCTGAAAAACAAAATTAAATCAGAAGGTACATTTAAATTAATATCATGAAGTTTTATTAAACTATCACAAAAGTATATGTGAAAAATGTTCTAGATTCCTATTTTCAAAAGTCTAAGATCCAAAAAAAACCAATCTATTACAGTTACCATTTTGGATTCATTTTAACAACCATCTCATATTTAGATATATTTGGAACTGTAATGATCAAAACGAACAACCTATTTCTTAATATCTTAGGCATGTGGTCGTAGCCCATATTCCAGTAATTTCCAGACCCTGAATTTTTTTTTAGCTTAACTATTTGTTTGCAGCTGCCAGTAATAATGATTTCATCTGTCCACTGAGCCTCTTCATTTATGCAAAAAAAGTCTCTTTACCTGAAAATTCAAAGATTCCACCTCCAGGCTTTTCTAATATTCTTGGGGATTTGTGCGCTCCACTTCAAAAAACCATAGTTTCTGATTAATTCCCAGAATATAATGTCAACTTGCTGCACCTCCCCCTGCAGTGACCCTTAGAGCTAATGGCTTTCGCCACCCTCCCTAGGTCCGGCTGGGCAAGGAACCAGCGTGCAGGGGGAGAACAGCAAAACACCCTGAAGCAGGGGAAGTACAGCAAAGTTCCCTGAAAAGACAAGCTTATCAAAAGATAACGACCACCAGGAACCACTACAAGAATGCTAAAAAAACCTTATCCCTTCTTTCTAGAACTACTTTCTAGAACTACAAACTTCAATCCCTTATTGTCTTTCTAAACTTCCTTCTTTCTTCTATAAAGGTCATTGCTTGTTAATTAAAAAATCATATGAAATCCTTAAAACAAGGCTGACTCAAATGAAACATTACTAAACCCTGTAATAATTAAAATATAGTTTAGGTAAAAAAGTAGTTAGTAAAAAATGCGATTATATAGTTTAAAAACAAAACTAATGGTCTATCTACTTAAGAATGAGGCTGGGTCCAGATGTAAATCACTGCCCTGTCAGTGATGGCTGAGCCCATGAGCAAGCTGATTTCGTTGATATTCATTGTTCCTGTGCTTTTGGAAAATATATATATACTGGTCACAAACTCAAAGAAAATTACACTCAGATTTACACTCTCTCTTGAAGTGTGTCTGTTTGTCATTTCTTTAACTGAATCCCTGACCACCCTGCGCAATCTCTCAACCCTGAGACGGCCTCGAGACGGCCTCATCGTTAACTGCTGTGCTGGTCCGCGGCATCAACTTACAAAGTTTGTATCTACTTTGGATAAAAATATCTGGAACCATTATTAGAACAAATCAGCTTGTCTTCCTATTGCAACAGGGTGGTCCCCAGGAAAGGGGGAGGTTCCCTGCCCCACCCAAGGGAGGGTGGAGCTGAGCAGGAAGAGGAGAAGCTGCAGAAGAGACTGAGGAAGGAAGCAGGATGGAGCCAGGAGACCTGGAGGAGGCGCGTGGAGCCTAGAGACACGTGAAGAAACTGCGCTTGTCTTTTGGTCGTGGACTGGGTGACACGGATGTGGGTGAGACCCGTGGGGAGGTGACAATGGCAGCTTTTATCTTGATGTTGATTTTGCTCTTTTCCTTCTGGGCTTGTCCGGTTGTTTGTGACCCTTTTCTGTGGGTCCCCACTGGAAGATGCTTTAGACTTGTGGCAGGCTTTGGGGCCTTGTTCTGGGCCGATCCCATATGGATGGACTTTTACCCACGAGGGGACGGGTAACTTTGGGTGCTTCATTTAGAAACTAGACTCTTTGCCTTACCTGTATTGTTTCCTAGTTTTATTAAAGTTCCTTCCCATTAGTCTCATGTGTTTTGTGTTGATGCGGCGGATGGCAGAACCCATGTAGAATAGGCAGGTTTGTGGGGTTTGGGCTGCCCCTCTCCCTGTCCTATAACAGATTTGGCATCCAACGTGATTTAGGACAGAGCCATCCGTGGTTAGTCAGCCCCATGGGGAAATTGGGCTTCCCTATGGCACTGGCTACCATAAGCGCAAATGTGATTTTTGGTTTCTCCAGTGTGTTTGTTTCATATGTCGATTTGCTGTTGAAAAACTGGCTTGGGCTTTGTGAACATTCTGTGTGTTTGTGTGTAATTTGTCTGTGATTTTGATATATTTGCTGTCTTGTTTTAGCTAACGCTCCAATTTTTTTTTTCTTTTGGCTTGTATAATGGACTATTTTTCAGAATGCAAAACTGTCATACTGGACATTCATAGACAATGCTGCTGACTAATTGTTGCTTCTCTTACACACATTGTAACCCTAAAAAAGACTGCCTCCTAAGACTACACCCTGAGATTGTGCCACCACAGATATGGTGGAATAAAAATTAAAAGGGGGGATTGCAACAGGGTGGTCCCCAGGAAAGGGGGAGGTTCCCTGTCCCACCCAAGGGAGGGTGGAGCTGAGCAGGAAGAGGAGAAGCTGCAGAAGAGACTGAGGAAGGAAGCAGGATGGAGCCAGAAGGAGACCTGGAGGAGGCGCATGGAGCCTAGAGACACGTGAAGAAACTGCGCTTGTCTTTTGGTTGTGGACTGGGTGACACAGATGTGGGTGAGACCCATGGGGAGGGGACAATGGCAGCTTTTATCTTGATGTTGATTTTGCTCTTTTCCTTCCGGGCTTGTCCGGTTGTTTGTGACCCTTTGCTGTGGGTCCCCACTGGAAGATGCTTTAGACTTGTAGCAGGCTTTGGGGCCTTGTTCTGGGCCGATCCCATATGGATGGACTTTTACCCACGAGGGGACGGGTAATTTTGGGTGCTTCATTTAGAAACTAGACTCTTTGCCTTACCTGTATTGTTTCCTAGTTTTATTAAAGATCCTTCCCATTAGTCTCATGTGTTTTGTGTTGATGCGGCGGATGGCAGAACCCATGTAGAATAGGCAGGTTTGCGGGGTTTGGGCTGCCCCTCTCCCTGTCCTATAACACTATCATTAGGTTCTGCCTACATTTTGAAATGACAGGGCAAAAATTCACTTCAATATCTGTAAGAAATATAAGATTTTAAAACATGTGTGAACAGAAGGTGGAATCATGAACACTTCAAGTCTTCACTGACCTCAGCACTACGTTGCCCACCATTACTTTTCTAGACCTTACTTGAATAGCCTTTTCAGATTCTTTTGCATCTCCTAGCCACTTTCAAAAGGGATCTCCTCATAGAAAAAGTAAAGTCTCATTTAACGTAAACTTTTGTACTTCTCTCTGTACAGAAATACTGAGTATTATTGCTATTCCCTTCTACTGGTCTAGAGTCAAAGATAGTGAAAAACATTAAATTCCTCAGTTATTAGGTTTTTACCTTAAGGTCTGACTCCAAAAATAAACATGGATTTGATATTGCTTTGTTTGTATGTGGCATATGTGCTCTTGAATAGTTATTTTCAATAGCACAAGTGATTTCTGTTGGGGTGAGCTTCTTCCCACCAATAAGAGGAATTTGACATTTCATATTTGAAATTTTAAGCTCAGTTTATTAAGTTCAATGATGAAAGTTATCAGAAGAATATTCTCCTGAAAATTATTTTTTCTTAGAAAAAAAGAAAGGAAAATTAACACCCTCTCAGCAAAGCCACAGATGCTGTGGCAGTCAAGCCTCTCTGCAGATGGGTTTAGTCCATTAGTCAGTCAAATCACTCTCTGGGTCAGCAGGATTATAGTCTGGATCATCCTCATCATCTTCCAGCTCCAAGTCATCCATTTCCTGGAACAGAGACTCATCTACCTCCACATTGTTTCCAGCTGCAAAGAGAAAAGATTTCACCTTCAGTTTATTCTCAGGATGAAAGATACAACTCATTGGCAGAATCAAACAGAAACTTGATGCAATCCTAAACTACTACTGCAAATCACACCAACAATGATCTGCATTGGTGGGCAGAGATGCACACTTTTTAAGAGCAACTTCATGCTTCAGTTCATAGCCTAAAAAGAGAAGTTATTACCAAAAAATCCTGCCTAGAATGAATTATTTATATGGCAGAAACTGAAGACAATGATGATATGTCCTCATTATCCAAAGTTGATTATTACTGACCATGAGACTGCTATCAGTTTGTCTCTTCCCACAGTGGCAGCAGATACATTATTAAATAAAGCTCAACTATTCTTCTCAATTAAATGATAGATTTGATTTGATCTTTGCCCTCATCATTCAGTTCTCCTGTAATCAGTGGTATGCCTTTCTTTTTTTGTGAGATTCCAAGTGTTTATAGGAAGGCCAGTAAGGGAGCAATACCCAGACTTTGCATTAAACCTCTTGCTCCTCAGTTTGTCTAAAGTACAAAAAGGTAGGCTATTTCAGCACTCTCAGATCATCACAATCTCTAGCCCATTGCAATTTAACTCAATGAGTCTTGCTTCACGCATATGAGTTCAGTAATAAAAATAACTGGTAAGTACAAGCCAAACAATAACAGACTTTTGACTCGGAGAGGTAAAAAAGGCTTCAGAGCTGATGACATTTGAAATAGTTTCATGATAAATTTGAATTCACCAGTAAGAAAAGGGACCAGGATGAAGTCATTCCTAAGTAGAAGTATATATAAATGCAAAACGACCTCAAAGGCTTCCAACTGGAACAAAAGATTCTTGAGGAAAAATTATCTGGGAATAACACAGATGAATAACACAGTTGACATTATATTCTGGGAATTAATCAGAAACTATGGTTTTTTGAAGTGGAGCGCACAAATCCCCAAGAATATTAGAAAAGCCTGGAGGTGGAATCTTTAAACTTTCAGGTAAAGAGAGTTTCTTTGCATAAATGAAGATGCTCAGTGGACAGACGAAATCAGATTAAAGGATTGTATAAATCAACCTTTTCCTCTAAAGAGTAGAGAACCATCAATGGGTTTTAGGGAGTGAAATGCTATGACTACATATGGGTTTTAGAAATATCACCTCAGAGGTAGTAACTACAGAGTACATCTGAATGAGGAAGAGACTAAAGCAGGGAAATAATTTAAGAGGCTCAATGTGAAAAATAATAATACTTTCAAATCAGGAGGGAGGAGCTGAAAAGACATTTCAGAGGGAAAAAAAATAGACAGATCCTGGTATCAACTATCAGGAGATACTTGATCTACTGGATAGGAAAGGAGTCTAACGTGAATGAAGATAGTAAAACTTCTAAAACTTCTAAATTGTTGTGAAGCTTAGTTTTTTCAATCTAAAATTTCTTAACACAATAATTGGTAAGGTGAGCTCCTAATGTGAGAAGGGAAAAGATGAGGATGTCCTTGCTGTTTTATTTTGCTTTGTGTTTTTTGAGGTTCTAAAGATCTTGGGACAAAAATGTAGTAAGATTCTTGTATGAAAAATTATTAAAATCAGTATTTAAAACTTGTCCTGCAAACAGTCCAGGAACAAGGTTGAAAGGCGAGATGATACATGATCCCCAACTAGCAAGAAGGGCATGACATGCAAAACTGCAGTTTGCATGAGTGGAATGGCTAAGGATGGAGCCCATTTAAGAAATAATTTAAGTCATAAGCTTCCTGAGGGCAGGGAATTATCTATACTATTCTCTGCTGTATCCTCAGCAGCCAGGACAGTCTTTGGCTTATAGCAGGAATCAATAACTATTTATGAATGGATGGATATAAGACTGAATGAGTGGTAAAGATTAGGATATAAAGGAAAAGGCAAGCATAAGGGACTAGATGCGTCAGAGACTGCAAGAGTAGCAATGAAGTGTAAAATTTTTGGTTAGAGGGCCTCCTAAGAGTTCCAGATTTGAAGTTTTCATAGAGCTTCAGGACAGACCATGGAATACAGTTTCCATAAATTTGTGACACTAGAAATTTGAAGAAAGCAGGTCACCTGAGTCAGGGTGGCTGGTTTAAGTTGTTAGAGGCCAATATGACTATAATTGTTTAATTAATGCTATCTTTACAGTTGGTTAAGTTATCAAAATGTTTTAAAAAAATCAAACACTAGACTTTATTCTCAAAGTGTATTTGTACTGTTGAGAAGAAAAATTAAGTTATCACTCTGATCTTCATGGTTCAATATTAAAAGCAGCACATCATATGGAATTATCTTACCATCCTCCAAAAACTGGATATCAGATGTGTCAAGATTATGATCTGTTTCAAATAGCTGTTTCCCTAAAAGAAATAAATATGTTAAATTCAAATTAGAGAGTATTCTTCCATTTTCCCTACAACCTTTTAAAAAGTACAATAATCTAAGAAAACAGGTCTGAAAACCTGTTTTTCTGTGAATTTCAATACATTTATGAGATCAGTAAGCAGCTAAGAGGCATATAAAATGTATCTTCATTAAAATGGAACAAGTAAAAACTTTGTCTGCCTAAGTCTTAGAAAAACAAATGAGTTTGACTCCACTACTTCTAAGGTATGACCCTGAAAGTCATGATAGCCTTATCTGGGGATTTATTACTACAACATTTAAATCAAAGTCATAAAAATTAATTATAGTTATGTGTGAAGAAACGTCATGCTGTAGAGGTTACATGTTCTCTTTTTGTCGTAGACACCTAAGGATTATTATTTTCTTGTAGAAATCTGTCCAAATAACCCTGTCCAACAGGAGGTTTTGCGGAAAACAGGAATGGAGAGAGGGGGGTTCATACCACTCAATTTATTTTTCCCTGCTTGCTCTTCTTCTTTCATTCGTTTCTTTTTTATTTCCAAGAGTTCTGCATCAAACTTGGCTTTCCAACTTAAGAAATTCTCAATTGTAACAGGAGTGCCATGAAATAATTGCTTAGAAAATAAAAGACATAAATCACCAGATAAATGAGACAATAGTTTAAACACTAAAGCCTAATGTCCCCTACACAAAAGAACAGTTACAGAACTTACTTTACATAAAAATTAAGATTTCAAGTTTTGAAATATTTAATATGATTTTTAGCTACACCAGCTACTCTCACTGGTTGTGGCAATTTACTCTGGAAAAGTCTACTTTTAATTTTTATTATAGAAAACAAAGATAATATGGAATTTATCCCCATTGCTATTCACCATTATGAACAGTTTTTGCTGTCGGTATTACTTTGTTTTGCAACCACATCAATTTATAATGCTAATATAGTTTATCTTTTCCACTTCATTTCAGAAATTGGGGTTTTCTTTACATTTAGTAAATACCTAAATCACTCTGGTGGGGATTTTATAATTATAAATTCTATGCCATATTTCTCAATCTTACCTGCATGAGCTTTACTAATATTTACTGATTATGAATCATTATTCATGCTATGCCAACAACCCAAAGAGGGACTTCTAAAATTTTCCTTAGTAAAGATTTTCTTAAATTCTCTTTATAAAGCTTTACTAAAATTTATTTTTATGATTTCAAAAAAAAAAAAAAAATCACTGAAATTTCCAAAAACTAAACAAACAATTAAAAAAAAACTAAACAAACAAACATGGATTTAACGGAATAATGAAAGATGATTTGGCTTTTAAACACACCTTTTCGGCTTCTTCTGCTTCTTTTTCTTTTTGTTTCTTTTCTTCTTCTCTTCTAGTTTTTATTTGATCGACTATTTCATTTAATTTTTCTTGCACAGCTGTCACTAAAGTAAAAATCATCACCATACCAAGATTTTCTTCTGCCTATTTTAACAGTAAAAAGAGTTGTAGTAGGAAATGTAATCCTCAGATGAATAAAAATTAATCTATGAAAAACATCTAGCCATAGTCACTGAACTCTATACATTTATATATACTATATATACCCTCTCTCCCTCTCCACACACACATGCACACGCACGCACACACACAATATGACCACTAGTTCAATTACACCACAAGTTCAGACACCTGGATAAATGAACATTTAAAAGCTAAACATATATGTGATATTAAATGATATTAGAGTTAGTATGTCATTCTGGTAACAGTGAACAGGATACAGGATCAGTTTAAACTCATGTCAGATATGTCCTCTTTCAAATTGTACTCTCTAATAGCTCTAGATATTTTTAAAATACCATAGCTGCCATTTATAAATTTAGGGAGAATGAGAGGTGAGAAAATGAAAAATCCATCACCAGTCCTCTTCCCAGATAGTAGGCAACTAGCCTGCAACTGATCAGAGGGAGTGGGAATTTTTAGTATTTCAAAATTGGAATTTTAAGCTGCATGAGACATTCGGAGAACCAAATTGAAATGGTGTTTATTACAAGTACCTACTGGGCTTTTTAATCACCTAAAAGTCACAGTGCTGACTAAGCTTCAAACAGGGGTAGAGAAACAGCTTTTCTTAGTCAAATTTTAAAGATACGGTGCAAAACAAAAAGTAAGATGCTTAGGGAATATGCGTGTGTGTGTGTGTGTGTGTGTGTGTATACACATATATATCATGAACTTTGCTTTTTCAATGTACTGTTATATATATATATATATGTTTAACAGCATTTTCTGACTTTTAAAATTAACCTGTAATTAATTTTATAAATGTTGTTAAAAGTTAAATGTTAATTACTTACCTGCAATGCTAATAATTTTAAAATGTCTGAGACATCATTATCTTCTAGATTTTCCTGGGAGAATATTTCATAAAGAGGAGCTTCATCTGGGTATTTTTCACTGTATGTAAACTTGAGGGTAGTCTGGACAGCTAAAGAAACAAGAGTCTGATATGAATACCTTAAGATATAAAGTATGGAGAGATCAACATTTTGGCTGAACATGTGTCAATGAAAAGAAGCACATTAGATTTTTCCGGCAAAGAAAAACAAGGTTACTATGGAACCAGATAATCACTAACATGAACAAGTCAAACCACAAATATAAGTGAAAAAAATATGTAACTCATGATATGCTTACTTCTTATTAGTATTTTACCATACTGCATATCTGAGAAAGAGGATGAATGAAAATTATTCTTTTTAAAACCCCCCTTAAAGTGAACAAAAAATACTGAATCTAACGTATAGAAAAAGTACTACCACCTGAAACTCTCAGAATCAGTTTCCACTCTAGAGATATGGCTTTAGTTCTGGAGACTATATTTCTATCTGTACAATGCCAATAAGTAATTGCTAGTAGGGCATCGCTATAGAACATGGTTCTGAAATGGACAGTTTGAAAAGTGGTTTAAGAAACTTTTCTTTTTTAAAGATTTATTTATTTTTAGACAAGAGCTGGGGTATAGGCCAGAGGCTAGGAGGGTGAGAGGATTCACCAGAGACAGAGCGGGGAGCAGAATAGGCAGACGACTGAAATACACTGCTGAGGGGAGCAGTGGGCGCGACAGGAGAGGTCTGCCACGCCATGTAGGAATCTCCCTGGCCTGCCAGAAATCGAACCAGTGCTGCAGAGGCTGCGGACAGCTTCACAGCACTGCGCTCAAGCCGCTGCGCCACTGCGGAGGCCCAAAGAAACTTTTTATCTCACTCATCCATACAATCTTACTCACTCTTTTGTCCTGTGCCAATTCATGGATCTGAAACAGGAGTGAGATTTTTACAGGCATATCAGTGCAAGGTATCTCTTTCTGCAGCCCAGACCCGTAAATTTTCAATTCTATGGAAAATATCTGCAATTAAATAGTAGTGTTCAAGAATTTGTGTTATATTAGCAACAAGTGATCCTTTATCTAGATTTCACCTTTCTTGTAACCCACATTTTTAGTTACTAAAACCTGATTTAAACTCAAATATAGATGTTTCTCCATGAGAAGGAAAAAACATCTTAAAATGTGCTGGTTTGATTTGGTTTTAGAATTGTATGAATCAATGGATATATGACGGAATGTTACATCAGTAATAAATGTATAGTATTGTTGATGTTTTTCTTTCTTTCATCAGCACATTTCTAATTTTATTTTATTTTTAAAAAATATTTAATTTATTTATTTATGCATATAAGAGCTGGGGTATAGGCCAGAAGTGCCGGGGGTGAGAGGATTCACCAGAGACAGAGTGGGGAGCAGAACAGGCGGATTGACTGAAATATGCTGCTGAGGGGAGCAGTGGGCAAGACAGTGGTCTATGCCATGTGGGTTAGGTCCCTAGCCGGGGATCGAACTTATGCTGCAGTGGCTGCTGATAGTTTGAGAGTGCTGAGACTTAACCCCTTGTGCCACGAGAGAGGCCCCACATTTCTAATTGTATTACTAGAATAAGAATTTTTAGATTTACTGCTTATTGATTTATTAATATATTGATTCTACTATATGATGTAATGGATATTCATTACAGAAATTTAGGATCACACTAAGGAAAAAACAGAGTTAATAATATTAATACAATTAACAATTCCATCAATAGCCATCACTGTATAAAATATATATGTAAAAAATGATATCCAACTTTTAATTTAGATTTCAGGAATATCTCAATGTTAACCTCAGTTTCAATGGTTAAAATAGGTTTAGAGTTATCACAGGATACCACTGAAATTGTATTATTGACTGCTAATGCAGAATTTTAGTTGACAAGCTTAGAGGGAAAAAAAATCCTTGAGGTTAACACAAACTTACATGTTTTCAATACACTACAATATTAACTGAACTAAACGAAAGGTGGCAATGAACTTTAGCCACTCCACCCCAACATCTGCCAAATTTGAATTACTTTAATTTTAATTTACTAGTTTTATCATTGCTTTATTTCAATTTGTGTATTTGTCTTAGTTCTACAGTTGTACAAAAGTTTTTATGCTGATACACATTTAAATAACAGTATACTATCCATTCTGAAAAGAGAAGGAACATCTAAAAATGTGTTTATCCATCCTAATTTATAACAGCAAATGTCCAATAAACAATCAAAATAAAAACACACTCAATGGAATACCACAGCAACCACTGAAATATGTGTACATACAGACTTGTTTTGAACAAAAATCTCCTATCTTTTTGTTATCTGCTATATTGTTAATGTTTCTGTTTCACTTAAAAAACTAAGCTATTTGTGTCAAAATATATTTCACTGACTTCCTATATGTCTCTAGAAATCATGTTTTACATAGTAAATACTGGCTAGAAACACCATACTCATAATAGGACCCTAACAGCACTGCAGCACTTCTACCCCTGCAATGGCCAGTACAATGGCGGCAGAATGACTAAAATTCCTGAGAGGCTCTAAAAGTACTCCAGCAGGGATTTTTATATAAACTTACTTTCATCATTTTCCCCAGCCTCAGATGTCACAGTAATGGTGAAGCTGTGTGGACTTTCTGATAATACTGCAAGAAAATATACAGAGAGGTTAAGTTATTAAGATCCTTCCTAAGACAGATGTTTTTCCTTATTAGCAAACTATCACTGCTCTCTCCAGAAAGTTGATCCCTAGCTTGTCCTGCCATATCCACAAACACAAACTGAACACACCATTCAAGTGAAAAAATTTTCACCTATTTTTCTATTCAAAACTAAAGTCATCATTAATCTGGAAAGACATCCCAAATAGTAGATACCTTTTAATCAACTCAAAATAATTTACCTTTTAATTCCAAACTTCCATCTATACATAGGAAATTACCTTCTAAAACATTACCAAATAGAATTGCAAAAAAAAGTTTATTATTTCCCATCAAAAACTTTGCACTAATAAATATGCATCACGATCACTAACTTTTGTACTTATATATTCCAAGGAAAAATTCAGACTCTCCATGACAAAGATTAAATGTTAATTTGTTAGTTTTTGTTTTCTAGCTATCTCTTTCCCCCACATCATGCCTAAAACCAAATTTTATTCTTTTACAAATTACTGAGCTTATACCATCTTTCATGGACTTACAAAATTCACCTTGAACCCAAGTATCAACTTACTTATAATTTGTTAAGTAGACAAGACATGTAATCAATATTTACATAAATAAGAAAGTTCTATATGCTATTTTACGGCCTGATTTTTATCTCATACTATATATGTTTAGTACCTATTTCCCCAGATGAATACTGTAAAAACTCCATGAGCGCCCCTAGATTAATGCTTGGCAGTATTGACAAACACTAAATTCTGGCTTACTACCCTAAGGGGAATGAAAGGAGAAAAATAATAACAAAGAAAACTTATATTCAGAACCATCAGAAAATAAACAAGGAAAGTTCAATTCACCCATGCCTGTTGCTGAATCTCTAAGAAAAGTTTGTGCTGCATTCCTGACCTGGGAAGCACTGAACCCTGTCAAGAATGGTAGCAGCTCAGGGCCTTTATCTGAAATGTAAGACAAGGGGGGTGTCTGCCCAGTCACCAAAGAAATGACTTAGCTTTCTCTACTTGAGAACTTCAAAGGACATCATAAACATTATCAATGAAACTTTTAAGATAAATGCCTTCATTTTAACTGAAGGTTAGAAGTACTTGAAGCAATGATGAGCATCGTGATTATTAGAACAGTGCTTGCCAGGAGATAAAAGACTCAATGAACTCATTTTAGTGGGTATCAGGCAGGCAGTCCATGCTGAATAAGTGCCTAGAAGGTAATTATAATAAAGATTTTATGATTGGACCTACCAATTTTTTTAACAAACATCTGTAATACATAGTGTCATTTTCGAGGACTCCCTGAGGCTCTATCTCAGTAACAGCTAACGCTTATTAAGCATTACTTTGTGATGTGTTGTATATTTATATGAAGATCCTTTCATTCTTTTACCAAGGCCATGATTTCATACTGTTACTGTATTTCACCAAACTTAAGGCCATCAAGTATGAGAGGCACCCTACTTTATGTAAGTCAGGAGACTTAAGAAAGGAAAAAGAAGCTTCCAATTAAACTATTATATATAATCAACTGTAAGGCAAATTTCTAATTTGGAGAAGTGTAAATATGTAAAAATACATCTTAGAATCAATGAACTATAATACCCCAATTTTATAGATGCAGAAGTTAAGACAAGGAGCTTTCATAATTTGCTTACGACTATCCAGCTAGTAACTGGCAGAACTGAATAAATTAACTTAAGAGTTTCAGGATGAAACTAGATAGCTATTGAAATTGTCCCAGTGAAGTTAATGAGGTTCTGAACTTGGCTGGCAGCAGCCACAAGAATAACAAGGAAAAGGGAGGAATCTAAGATAGTGACAGATGGTATTTTGAATTCCCACACAGAGGAAGATGGTACAACTAACAGACACAAGAAACATATACCAAAAAATCAGCTACAATACATTTGAAGGACACAGTGTACTCTCAGTTAAGTATGCAATTAGAAATGGGTAAATGGAGCCAGAGAGTTGAATTTAATTTGGGATCATTCAAAGAGAGCCATTAGACTAAAGGACACAGTCAGAGAGAAAGCAGAGAGAGAGATTAGGGCTAACACCAGCTCTCCCCTCTAAATTTGGAGGGGAGGGAGGAGTAAGAGAAAAAAGTGCCCGGTTAAAGGAAAAGAAGCAGTCAGGGAAGGTAAAAACAAACTCAAGACAACAGCATTATGAAAATCAAGGGATGAGTTTCCAGAAGAGGTGAAGGATGATCCTCCCCATCCCACCCCATGCTACCCCACTGTCTCTTGTCACTGAGTTTCCTAGCAAACAGATGTTCACATCATCATCAGCCTACTGTATGCTGTACACAGTGTGTTGGGATCAGCTGTGAGCATGGGTTGGAATCATAGTCAACACACTAGAAAGTATCCATAATTTGAACATGAGTTTATTTGTGAGGCCACCCCAGCTATGGAGAGCTGAGTATGACATGGCTGCGTGTGTGGTGGAGGTGGGAGGGAGGGGGGATAAGTGTGGGTAGATATAGGTAGACAATGATCCCCTGGCCCATAGGATCATATTTAAATCCCCAACAAGGCCCTTTGTGATCTGGGCCCTGCTAACTTTTCGGGTCTCATTTTCCATGACTCACTTCTCCCTTTATGTTCCAGCAATTTCAAGTCACTTGTCCTTTGAATAAATTTTGCTCTCACAGAGTCATGCTTCTACAAACCCTGCGTCCTTCCCCAGTCTCATTCACCTGGAAACTTATCTCCCCTCATTCTCCAAAACAATTCAACCCCTCCTCCTTCCTATGCTCCAACTGTATCCTATATATGTCTCTTTGCAAGAATTAACAGAATGTTTTGTAAATAGTTACCAGTTGTCTTTTTGAATAGATTGAGCTTGTAATAATGCACATGGCAAATATTTGTTAAATGAGGAAATATGGAGGACATGTAGATTCTAGCAAGAAGATCAAAGAACTGTTCGATGTTGGGAGATACACAGAACTGGGAGGCGAGATGGACAAGAAAGAAGTTTATGAATTATTAATCCATGAGAAATCATGAAAAGAGGCATGGTCAATAAAAGATGGGAATGAAAGAACTGTAGGGCTACAAAGTTATAGTGAGAAAGAAAATTTCAGAATACAAAATTTTTAAAAATGCATTTCCAAGGTGTGGCTTTGCATCTAAAAGAAATGGAAATCAAAACTGTTAATTGACAAAGATAAGGAATTATGAAGTCATATCAGAAAAATGAGCAACTAAGATAGTAAATTTCTAGTAAAGAGTATCCTACATTTAACAGTTACAAAATACTTACACTTACATTATTCCTCCTTAAACAGGTACGGAAACTGAGGTATGGAGAAATTATATAATTTGTCCAAGGACATACATACAACACCCTCGCTGCCAACACAGAGAAAAAGTTATGAGCCAGGTACAATAACAACCAAAAAAGAAGATAGTGGAGAAAACTACTAATAGTCCCCCAATACTCACTCTCCTCCCATATATTCATCCCCTCCTCCAGTTATACCATTTCCAATTGAGCACAGTGACCCACAAGAATAAAAAGAGGCATGAAAAGACCGTATTTTTCAGACTCCCTTTCAAGCAGCCTGAGCAAATGACTAAGTTCCAGTTAATGAGATAGAAGCAAATAATTCCTTTGACAGTTTCCCATAAATTTCCTTCAAGAAACTGCTCTTTCCCCCCTTCATTCTTTTATCTGCTCTACTGCCTAGAAAGGAAATGCTGCCATCTTGACCATGAGGGTGAGATTACATCTTCAAGATGCCAGAGAACTAAGACTCCTGGGTCCCTGAGGAGCTTTTGGAATGGAGCCACATCTCTCTTTTCATATGCAAGAGCAATAAACATTAACCTTTTTTAAAGGTTTGGTTGGTTGATTGGTTATGGGGGGTGGGGGGGGTGCAATTTCTGTCAAAGATGAATCTAATCAAACAAGCAAGGAAAGAGATAATGTTTCTTTCTTTTTTTGTGTGTGTGGCCGGGGATCGAACTGGCGCTGCAGAGGCTGTAGGGGCAGCATCGCAACCCAGTGCTCAACCACTGCGCCACCAGGGGAGGCCCAAGAGATAATGTTTCAAAGCTTGGAAGTGACTAAAATAGGAATGGGAAAGTTACTTAACTGGATTCATGAGTTCTGATGAAGGAATAATTAGCCTTCACTAAGCTACCAGATTTTCACCAGTATAAGTGTATCAATATACTTCTGAGACAAAAAGTAAGGTTGTTGGGCTGACATAGGGATAGATGATGGTAAAATGGACAGACTAAGGATTTCTGTCAAGAACAGAGATAATGGAGACAGTAGCAAGAGGTACACTAAAAAAACACACAAAAATGACATTAAGGTTTTCACAAAGAACTAGACAATTGTTATTAAAATAAATCCCTTTGGTTCTTAGGAAGTATCTGTCTTAGAAAAACTGTTTTCACAAGATCACTTCTGTTCCATCTCTAAGATGCAATTATAACTGTTATATGTTTATGGTTGCTACTGACAAGCTTCTGGTAAGCCTGACACCAACCAATTTGTTCCAACAAAACTTCCTATACCCAGAGGTTTTGATACAAAAATAGAAATAACCAAATTCTACTACCTTAGCAGGGCCTTGCAAAGGAGATAGTAGATCGGGAGAGACTAGTATTTATATTTTAGAAGGATAGCTGTTAGGAGGGTTGGTTCAATATACAATCTAGCCACAGAATAGGCAAAAAGAAAGTGAATAATGGTTTGTTATAATTCATAACAAATGCAACACCAAACCAAAAGCTATTTGCAAGAAATCAAACAATGGACTTGAAGTTAAATCAGGTCTATATGGTTAGGACTATGCCTGGCTGAAACTGTGCCTCTTCAGCATCCACAAGAGGATCATGCTGTTTAACCAAAGCTTCAATGTCAAGCACTCAGCAATCTATTTAAAAATAAATATGCAGATTTTTTTCACTTCCATCATCAACAGTATTAAACAATTACCAAATCTAATATTAAATGCGATTCAAAATGACATTAGAAAACTACCACAAGTGGGGCCTCCCCGGTGGCGCAGCGGTTGAGCGCTGGGTTGCGAAGCTGCCCGCAGCCTCTGCAGCGCTGGTTCAATCCCCGGCTGCTCCCCGCCACCGGAGGCGGGTCCCGCATGGCGCGCAGAATCTCCTGCCGCCTGCTGCTCCCCTCAGCAGTGTACTTCGGTCCTTCTGCCTGCTCTGCTCCGTGCTCTGGCTCTGGTGAATTCTCTCACCCTCCCGCGCTTCTGACTGTACCCAGTGCATGTATAAACAAAACAAACAAACAAATAAATAAATAAAAAAAAAACATGCCTCTATTAAAAAAAAAAATTTAAAAAAAAAAAAAAAAAAAAAAAGAAAACTACCACAAGTAAGTTCTTCCCTAAACCTTGTATGAAAATATTAAAGTTTGGAATCCTCAAGATTTCAAAAGAGGAAACATTTTACTCCAAAATCCTGAGAGGTTTCACAAAGATCCTGATTAAGTGTAAGGCAAAGTTCCTCAAGAACTATTAATCAAGGCGTTTTAGTTTATTTACTGCAAAACTTGTAGGAATGTTTAAAAGGATGACAGACAGGCTCAGCTGATATTGCTGAATACTTGAATGCAGCAAAGATTCATAAATGGCTTTTCATTATCCTGGCTCAGAATCCACAAGGGCCTTTTCATCTGACATATCACATACTAAATTGTATCAGAGCCTAGTACAATTTGAAAGAACCACAAGATTGTTTTAGAGTTAAAATGAATCACTGTTATAAATGTTTATATGTACAGTATTCAATGAGAAATACCTTTATGTCCAAAGAAATGAAATGAATGGCACATTTTATGCTTTCTTGACTCTGCCTACACAGTTTTCATGCCTAATTACATTTCCAAAGCATTGGAAATGACCAAACATCACAATTGAGTATATTCAACAACTGACCCTATGTTCTTTTGTTATTTAGACATTGATATACAAGCAAGGATAGAGAAGGGAGCTAGACTCCATACACACTCACCCAGTTAATGACACTTTTAAACCCCTCTTCACTCATCCCCTTAAACATCCTCACAGCACAGCTGTACTGCTGGTGAAAGAGAACATGAACAGGACTGGCGCTATACAGGGGTAGCTGAGAGACATCTGCCTGTTGGCAAAGCAGAACAAAATTTGCTACCATTGCAAGCAGTGGTCAAAAAGTGGAGCTAAGGAAACTAAGCTAAACAATGAAAGGGAGAGGGGCTGGAGTTTACTAATTGAGAAAAGGTATCTTAGGCTCTGAATTCTCATAACCGGTGATGGGCAACACTAGAAGGAAGGGATGGAGCACTTAAATACCAGAAATTTAGGTTCTATTCCTTGTACTGGCTGTATTTGATCACTTCTCCGAAATGGAAAGTAAATGTGAAAGAAGCCCCATTGCTATGGTTATCTTACAGCATTTTCAGACTCATCTGGGCCAAGACCCAGTTTATACTTAATGAACTTGTCAATCCTATTTATATACTTTAGGCCAACCTATCAAGTAATCTTTTGCTCCCCCTCATCCCACCTGGGGCTAGATCCCAAGTCCCACACGTCTATAAGGTAAAAGAGGGGCCTCCCTGGTGGCGCAATAGGTTGCCCACCGCACTATGAAGCAGTCAGCAGTCTCTGCTGCACGAGTTTGATTCACTGCCGGCTAGGGAACTACCCACATGGTGCCGCAGACCTCTCCTGTCTCGCCTGCTGCTCCCCTCAGCAGTGTATTTCAGTCAGTCTGCCTGTTCTGTTCCCCAGTCTGTCTCTGGTGAATCCTCTCACCCCGCCCCCCCCACACCCCCGCAACTCTGGCCTGTACCCCAGCTCTTGTATGCATAAATAGATAAATCTTTAAAAAAAAAAAAAAAAAGAAAAGAAAAGAAGAAGAAGAAGAAGGTAAAAGAACAGGAAAAGGTTCCAGACCTAACTCAGTACCAATGCTGCCGCTGAGGGCTGGGTAATCCTGAGAAATCCACTTGCCAGTTCTGGGCCCCATTACCTTGCTTGTGGCAAGGGAGTCCAGGCTACAAGATGATTAATAACCCTTCCAGTTTAACAACCTGTGCTTCTACAATGGAACTGAAACTCGGATCACATCATTCATTCATCATTCTGCACAAAATCAGTATATTTAAAAAGGAAAGAGAAACGACAAATGTCAGGGACAACACTACCCTCAAACTGATTTGGGGTAACTTTAAGGCAGCACTCTGAATCCCACGGGCTTTAAAACACCATTATACGAAAAACATCGTTTACTCAATGGAAGTGAGAGCTGACACCTTTGTGGCTCTACAAAGAGTACTTCACTCCCCACCTGGCGAATGTGTTTTTCATGTAGTTTGGCTAAACCTCGAGTTTCTGGAAGTTACACCGAAACCTAAGTGCCCCTGACTCAATTTCAGGCCTGACATGCAGGGACCTCCCCCAGACGCTTAGATTGCAGGGAATAAGCGCAGAAAGGGAAATACTCCTGGAGTTACCCGATAAGTGCCTGAACGTGTCAGGAGAGGAACTTGAGAAGAAAGTGACGGCCCAGGTAACCACGCGGCCTCGCGGTACCCGGTTCCATCCCCAAGCCGGAGGCCGAGGGCCGCGGCGGCCCCGCCATGCGGCCCCGGGCAGTCGGCCACACGGCCTTCCAAGTCACCTGTGAAGGAGTCGGGGTATATGGACTCCAGAGCCTCCAGCTCATTGCGCTGCTCCTCGCCGTAATCTGTCATCGTGGCCCTCGCTGCAGCCCATGGATCGCCCAACACGCAGGCGGCGCGCTGCAGCGGGACCGCGGCCGCGCCGGTACAGCTGGCGGCGGCCACACGGGCGCAAGCGCAGAGTCCCCGGCTGGGAGGCCCCGGGTCCAAAGCCAGACCCGGCCTGCTGAGCAACAGCCCCGCACCGGCCTCCGCCTGCTCCCTAGTTCTGCGCTCTACTGGTTTGGTCTGATCCAAGGGCCACTGATTAGCTGCCTGCCCCACGCCCGCTCGGAATTTGCTTGTCTGGTGAAAGCTCCCGGTCAGGCATTCGCCACGGACACCTAGCGCCGGTGCCCGAGCTTTGCAGCGCCTGAGTCTGAGAAGCCCCTGAGCGCGGCATCCGCGCTCGATGTTTCTGGGCTGAGGGCCGGCCTCTCCAGCTTGGGCTGGACCGTGTCTCCGGAAACTGCTTACCGCGATGTAGGCGACTTCGTCACTTCCGGATGCCGAGGGCGCCCCTCGGGCCCCCGCGCGGTGGGCGGGCGAGTTGTGAAGTAGGCTAGTGGCGGAGTACAAGGGGTTTCCACGCTGTTCGTTAGGTCCAAGTTCCTTGGGCAACCTCCGGGAGTTGAACCAGGGACCTAGTCCAGTGGGCAGAGGGGCGGAAGTTCTGCTTGTGCGTCGGTGGGTCCGGAAGGGTCGACCCAGTTGTTTAATAGCCAGTCGGGGTGAATCCGGGGGCGGCATCTACTGGAAGTTCGGCGGCCTGAGTTCTAGGTTCAGATTTTTAGGTTCCACTTTGGAATTTGTAAATGAACGCGACTGGACATAGATTTAAAGATGTCTCTGATGGCGAATTTCTACGAGTTGATAAAGAGGGTGGAGATTTCAGTAGCAGTTTTGATAAGCAGTGGAAATCAGTCCCCTGAAAAATGTCGAGAAACTTTGATTCAGGAGAGTAAAGTTGAGGAAGTCGTACTTAAAATATACATGTGTGGTTATCTCCAAGTTCATGGCAACAGTTATAAAGTCTGAATAACAATAGCGAAAGCATGGCACTTTTATGAGGTTAGATAGCTGCTTATGTTTCTAGTAAAGTAAGATAAGATTGGAAAGTAAGATAAGATTGGTTATAAGATTGGAAAATGAAAGAAAATACTCCCAACATATTAAAATATTTCTTTCTTTGTATTTTGTTTTGTTTTCTTCCCAAAGTTGATTTCACTACACTAGTAGTGGAGGAAAGTTTTTAAATAAGAAGCTAGTGTAAATAAAGTAAGAAAAAAAAAATGGGACTAATCAGAGTTTGGGTAACAATCAGAGCTGGGAGGCTGTTGAGGTGGTCAGCAGTCCAGGCACCCCGGGACATGCTTAGATGTGTTCAGAGGCAAGAAGAAAATGAAACCACACCAAACAAGCCACACACCAACTTGGAAACCATGAATCACTGCTTGACAAACGTTCCACCAATCAGAATTGCACTGACTGAAAACTTTTACTTAAAAGTGGACCTGCCCTGTCCAGTGACCTATATAAGCAAACTTCTGTCAGAGTTTTTTGGGTATTCAGCTCAGGTGCTTCTAGAGGCTGTGTCCCTTGGGCTACATTCTGCAAGCCCAGAATAAACTTTTTTTATTTATTAATCCATTTTAACACATGGATGTAACACTGGTGGTTGTGATGCAAACCGAATTTGGCATAGAGTTGGACACTCCCTAATAATGAAGGCTCAGATGTTTTCCTCATGGACCAGAGATGCATCTTGATCTTTTCTCGGGAAGTATTCCTTACTGTAGCTGAGGTCTACATTAAAACAAGCATGGGGAGGGGAGTATTGGGGAACAAAGAAAAAGGTTGAATATAAACTGGCAGTGATAATCTAAGCAAAGGACAATAATGACATGGACCAGAGCTGTAAGGGTAAAAGTGGTGGAAGAGTGAATAAATTCTGGATATATTTTGAAGGTAGAGCTGACAGGATTTGATGTGGGTTAAAGAAAGGGTTGTCAAGGATGATTTTTGACTGGAAAAATTGGAAAGATGTTTTGTTAACCAAAATGAGTGAGGAAGAAATGAGTTTGGCAGGGAAGTTGGTAACTTTTCAATAAACCATAAATGAAAGAAAAAGTACATGTTTTAGAAAAATTTCCTAACTGAATATAAAAACCTAGCAAATATGAGGTGTGCAGTAAATAACTAATTTAAGATTTATATTAGAAGAGTAAATAATGGTTACACAATTTAAGCATGGCATGGCCCCCTATTTAGTTAACTATTTTTTAACATAGCAATAGAATTTTCATTTAAACATCCTTATTAAACCAATTATATATTTACTGTAAAGCCGTCATATTTCAGAATGCTCTAGTTATTTTTTGTTTTGTTTTGTTTTTGTCTTTATAAGTAACTTCCTAAGAGAGTTCCCATGATAAAATAATCAGGAGAATGTACCCCCAAATCTTTGTCACACTTACATGGGCATCGTGATCTCTAATTTCATTTTGACATTTCACAGATTCACTTCATTTTCTGAAAGTGAAGATTCTTTATGAGGCAAATTGTTTCATTTTTAATTTATAGTTGAAGATGTTATAGGAGAAATGTGGTTCATGCTCTGCAGGGGGGCAAACCATGTGAGCATAACCGTCTGGAGCCAGAAGTGAGAAGTCCAATCAGAGTCATTTACAAGCTAAATACACTTAAAAGATAAGTCAGATAAGATGAAATAATATATATAAAAGCACATTGCAAATTCTAAAATACAGTATCAGTGTTATTAGTAATCGGTGTGTATATATATAATATATATATTATCCTCTGAAGCACTCATGTTCTCTATTACTGTTCTCCATCTTTATTGCTAAAGAAAAATTTCTGCTAGAGATTCATCAACTTGTTTCATTCACCTAACTTTCTTCTGCAGATAGTGGAAACTCACAGTTGCTATTTCCTAATTTTATCAGTCTTTAAAAATTGTTTTGGTGGGGGCCTCCCTGGCGGCGCAAGGGGTTAAGACACAACCTATCAAGCTGTCCACAACTCCTGCAACACAAGTTCGATCCCTTGCCAGGGAGCTAACCCACATGGTGCAACAAATCTCTCCTGTCTAGCTCACTGCTCCCCTCAGCAGTGTGTTTCAGTCAGTCTGCCTTTTCTGTTCCCTGCTCTGTCTCTGGTGGATCCTCTCACCCCCCTACCCCTGCATCTCGAGTACCCCAGTTCTTGTATGCATAAATAAATAAATCTTTTAAAAAATTGTTTTGGTGTTTATTTTTACTTTTCTGTGCCAATGTAGCTCTTGTTACTTCCCTGAACTTATCTCCTATTACTCTTCACCTAATTTTCTGCTCCAGCTACACAAGCTTCCTTGCCACTCCTCAAATGTGCAAGGCAGGTTCTCCTCCTGAGGCTTTTGTACTTGCTGTTCCCTCTGCTGTAATATTCTTCCCATACCCACATGATTCACTCCATCATGTCCTTCAAGTTGTTCCTCAAATGTAACTTTCTCAGTGGGTTACCCAGACCACTCTACTTAAAAGTTGAACAACGCTCTTCTAGCACTATCTATTCCCTTTATCCTCATGTATTTTTCCCATGGCAATTTAAAAGTTGCACTAGAATTAATGCTTATTCTCTCTCCCTACTAGAATGTAAGTTCCATGAAGGCAGGTATCTAGATTTATTACTGTTGCATTTTAGCACATAGGAGTGCCCTACACAGAGTAGGCTCTCAGAAAATAAATGTTGTCTGAATGAATGAGTGAATGAATCTAATTGAGTGGTAAAATGGAATGGTTTTAAACACACTGTACCAGGGACTTACAGGACTAGTATATAACTCTTCTTCACAATTGGTTTACCATATGTATTCAGAGAAGACACATTCTCTTTCAGCCCCAGATTTCCCATCTATAAAATGAAGGAATTTGGAAAAATTATCTTTGAGATATTTTCCAAATTTTAGAGACTGTGATTCCTTAAGATTGTGCTTATATTGGAACCACACTTCAGTTCACTGTTAACAGCTCCAACCCAAGGTGTCATGGTCAAAAGAGTGATGTCTGTGGATGGAGTTGTTACCCGAACATCTGTGATGCTAACACTTTTGAACCATGTAACAGTATGGGAGCCTCAATTCTGAGTAACAACAAAGCACAGATGATAGGAGTTTTAAATGGGCTATACGTCCAACAATACCTTGCCTGTAAGAATGATGTACAAGATGGACAGACAAGAAACAGCATATGTACATGTTTCTTTTCTCCTTCCCTACTACCATTTTGATCATTTGTATCTTTGTAATTTTTTTTTCTCCTCTTCCTCTCTTCTTTCCTCTCCACTTGCCTCTCCCTCCCCAGGCATATCTGTTTTGGATTTGAAAGGACTAGGTTGGGAAGGAGGAGAAAAAAATCTTAAAGGAGCAAAAGAGGGATAGAAAAAGAGAAGGTTAGTGAAATTCAATATGAAATACTTAAAATATGCAAAGGAAAATGAACTTGAGAATTAAAATGAAAAATAAAAATTTAAGTCCAATTCATCTTTCATCCATCTTCCAGTAAAAAAACATAGTGAAGGGTTGAGTCAAGGATACCATAATTGTAGACAGGCTCCTGGGTAAATTTTTTTTTATGATGTTCCTCCCTATAAGGTAATTTTATTTTTTTGAAACACATGGACCCATGTAATATATAGTGATTTATGGACAGATTTAAATAAGAAAGTGAAGATATTATGCATTTGTTTATTGTTTAATAAGTATCCTAAAGATGCTCCATAGTGTCTATACATCTTCTCTTCCTGTTCTTAATCTTCAAATACGTTGTTGCTGTCTAATTTCATTGTTGCGGTCTAATATCTTACACGTGATTACAAAATTACAAGTAAGTAGCAGCGCTGAAGTATTCAAAATGCCTTGGCTATTTGTAATTTCTGTTGAAACAATATAGTTCTTGCCTTTGCAGTATCTTAATGCCATTTATGCAATGCTGGTCAAATCATTAAGTTTCACTAGGCCCTCATGCTGCTCTCTCTGGTTTCCTCAAAGAATGTGATATCCAAAAATGCAAATCTTATCCAAAGTGTGCCGGAAAATGTGAATGATCATTTGCTTTCAAGTTTGTTAAATTTAGCACACATCTTCCAGCCATCTTTATTTCTTCAGCCCATAATCACAGCATTCCTAGAATGAGATCTTTTTCAATTTTAGCTGTTCCCTGCCGCCCAGGCTTTGCCACCCAGAGCTGTGCAGACCACCAGGCCCGTCTGTGTCAAGGCTACAAGTGCCATTTGCCGGCGAGACTGCCATTGCCCAAAGCTGGAAAGCACAGCGTAACCCGGCGATCAGGACTCGAGAGGACGGCGATCTGAAGGGCTGGATGTCACCTGTGACATAGTAGTCGCTCCAGCCAAGAGGATTGCCTAATGCTGGTCGCGCGATCTGCGCGGGTGCCCACCCTGGGTGCCAGCGGTGTGGCCCCCTGAGTTAAGGACCTGCCACCTGTGTGCAACTTCGGTGCAGTAGACGCGAGATGCCGCTGGTGATGGGACTACCCCGGCTCCTCTCGCTTGGGACTCATAGTTCACCAGTTATCTAGTAAAATAATTACATCAATGAGAAACCATTTCATTTCTTTAGGACTTTGCAAAAATACCTTCCTATTCTCTATTTTTAATGTTATGCCAGCAAGTTATTTCGTAATGTGACTGCTTACCAGTTTGTTGCAAGGCATAAATGGGGTAATTTGTTTCAAGTGGCTTGTTTGTAGTAAGCATTAGAATTATTTTTACTGTTGCTGTGACTATGAGGACAGATGGGTCCTGTGGGGGCCACCAGGGGGCAGCAGAGGAACAAAAAGGAATCTGAAGTTTGGGCATACTGAGATTAAAGGTTTCATTTTAGTTGGTACAGAAAAAGTTTGGGTGGAAAATGTAATATGCTTCTCTTGAAATACCATCCATTGCTCTTTGGTCTACAGGTCACATGGATTGTCTCCGACACCTCTAGGAGTCGGCTGTGTTGCTGTCTACTCTGAGATCCACCTGCCATTATCTATTCTGTAGTAACCAACGACAAATTTCAGTAGACTCATTTAATAAGATAAAATTGCATCTCTAAACTTTTTATTTTGAGGTAGCAAATAGCTGCCTTCCCTTGTATTTGGAAGGACTTTAGCTGACTGTGATACTCCAAAGTTTTGAAATCAATATGATTTTCCTTTTGTGCTACACAAAAAATGCAAAAAAAAAAAAATTGAAAATCACTTTATTTCATCTTACAAAGATGCATTCTTTTTTTAAAAATGGAATTAGAGACCACGATGGAAAGGGGAAAGATGATGAGGGTAATCGTGGCTCCACACTTTAGCTTTGGAAAAGATAAAGCAAGCCGAGTAAAACACTTCATAATTCCAAGCATGGTGTAAAATATTGATTTAGCTAGTAGGTCCCAATAAAGAGAAATATCAAAAAAATTTCAGATAAAACATAGGGATTATAGTTGTCTCCCAGAAAGGAGGTAACTTAGATTATAGTGGAAAATGGAGTAGTTGACCAAGTTGAAGTTAGGAAATGAGCAAGTGTGTATTCATAACCAGCCACAGCATGTGAGGTAGTAGCCAAAAGCATTTGGCAGCAAATGATAAGGTAGTATTAGCGCTTAATTGATTTTAATTATACGTCTCATAAATTACATAAATCCATTAAGCATAAAGGTGAGGAAGTACAATGTTCTTAATGAAAAAGTCTTCTCTAACTGTGAAACAAAAGAATATACTTGACCAAAAACATAAAATATTGGGAGCTTAATTTATTTCACTTGAAATGGATAATACACCATGAAATCTCAAAGATGGTACTACCCTCTAAATGTTCATGTAAATACTATAAGTCATTTAGAGCTAGTAGTGAAACCAAAAAATACTTATAATCCTGTACTACAAAGCAATGGTGGAAGATCAGAAGTGGTTCAAAATATAGTCTGTGTGTCATTCATATTTTCTTTGATCTTGTTCTTTACTGAAAATCTTGTCAAAGTGTAATTACTATGTCATATTCCCAGAAAACTAATAAAATAATTCCAAGCATGGTATATGTCCCAATAAAGAGAAATATCAAAAATTTTCAGATAAAAATAAAAATTTTTAGAACTGGAGGAGGCCATATAAAAACTGGACTTGATCTTTTTTATTTATTTACACAGCTCATTTATGTTAGAGCCAAACTAGTACTCTAGTTCCTTTCCATAACTTTTATTTTTTTTAAGCTCCCTCTTGTAATGTGAGTACTGACTTAGGAGACAAAGTAGAATAGCTTTCCTTGTTCTCTAGAATAAGATCAGTATATTAACATTCTATTAAAAGTGGATGCCAGCAAATATCTTTAGAGAAAACTCAGGCTTGAACTCAATGATACTTTCCTGTTCATAGAAAACTCCTGGGCCTACTATTATTCAAGAAAATTGTATAGTAACATATTGACCTATATATACACATATAGCCATGCACATAAAACTCTTATTAAATTTAAAAAGGACATCAAGAATTTATTTGGTTCTGTTCCTTGCCTTCTAGCAGGTAATGTAGTCACTATCTCTATTGTATATCGAAATAATTGAGTGCCAGAAAGACCAGTTGACTTAATAAGTAATGGAGGGCCTCCCTGATGGTGCAGAGGTTAAAGTATCAGCACTATCAAGCTATCAACAGCCACTGTAGCACAAGTTTGATTCCTGGCCAGGGAGCTACCCACATGGCTGAGCAGACCTCTCCTGTCTTGCCCTCTGCTCCCCTCAGCAATGTATTTCAGTAGATCCACCTGTTCTGCTCCCCACTCTGCCTCTGGTGAATTCTCTCACCCTCTGTACCTCTGCCCTACACTTCTTGTATGCATAAGTAAAATCTTAAAAAAAAATAAGTAATAGTGTGGAAGTGACAGTTTTTTTTCTAGCAAAGCACCATACTACCTGCCTCTTATTGGTCAAAAAAGAAAAAAGGTGCATTCTTAAATTTTATTTTCTATTTGTCCCTACTAATTTTGAGGAACCCCTAACTTCACATAAAATAGACTCTCCCATAATTGTGTAAAAATAGATTACCAAGTAATTGATTATTTATTGCATTTTAAATAGTGCAGTTCTCTGGGCTCCTTGAAAGTGAATCTTGAGTCAGTTTGACCATTAGCAATCAGTCTAATACCCAGAAAGCAGGCATTGTTTGGGTTAAAAATAAATCAATAAAAATCCTCATCTTGCTTACTTTAGCCAGTGAATCAGTTGCTTAAGTGAATATATGAAAATCAGGCACTGCATATATTAGAAATAATTATGATAATTTAGAAAACTGCCAAATATTAAAAGTGCAAAGTCATGCAGAGAAAAATCAGGCCCATCATTTCCTTTTGGAGTTCTGCACAATGGATGCACAAATGTAGCTTGCAGTCTTCTCCAAATGGATTTTGAGTGCAAGGGTGCAATTTGATAATAAAAAGGCCCAAACTGTGTCACTGTGGTAGAGTACAGAGGGGAAGCTTTTCAGAATATACTTTCATGTTGTAACTATAAAAATGATGGTGGGGTGGAGGTGCTTCAGACAACATTTATGATGCTAGTGATACAGCAATGAGTCAACTTCCCCTGGGTATGAAGGATGATGAAAGACCCTCTTGTGTGGGCTTCTCTTACATGTTACCAGTTTTATAAGTTTTTTTTTTTGTACTGGTTCCCAAAAGATCATGTATTTAAGCTACAAAAAAGAGGAGGAAGTTGTGAAGTTTCTGAAGATTGTGTTAGAGGTAGAAGTAAGAAATCCAGAAATGGGGAGACAGGGAAAATAGTGGAAGAAGACATAGAATGCAAAAAGAAAGGGAGAGAGTAATATTTATTGGCACTTAATTTATGAAAGGCACTGTTTATATTCCCAAATTTAATCCTCAAAATCTCTATGAGGTAGCTATTATGTGCAAATAACAAAATGGTACTCAATATTAATTTTCACACAGCTACTAAGTAACAGACCAAGATTCACATTTTGATGTGATTTCAAATTGCATAATGTTTAACATAGAACAATATGACAATAAAGACATTACCAGATCATCAATGAAATTTCAAAGAAAGAGAAATTGTCATAATTAGCAGACAAATTGATTTTGGAAATAGCATTATGGATGGACTTATGAAACAAATATCAGAAGAGAGAAAAAGATGATGTTGCATTGAAATTCCATCGTTATAAAAATAAAATGGCAGTTAAGCAAACTAAATTAGGAAATGTGCTATAATCAAGGTTTTAATTCAATACCTCCTGATTTGTTTTCCTCATTCTCCTCATCTACCCTGTCTCCAAGGAAACTATAGTGACCTTGAAATTCATCTCCCATGCATAAAAGACTGGGTGCTGAAATGTCTTTCCAATCCTGATACGAAGGAATTCGGATGTTTTTGACATCTTCACTTCCAGGAATGAAGCCAAATAGTTTTTTTATGCGCTGCATGATGAGGATTCGTGAGTGCTGCTCTGCAGCTTGTTCAAAGAGCTCTCTCTCATTTTGCAGGTGGTTGTTCCAGTAGTAATGTTGCAGAGAAGTGAAGGGGGAACAGCACCTTGCCAAACAGCAGGAGAAAAGTACAGCAATGGTTGCCAAGGTGATCAAAATCCAGCCCAGCATCTTCACATTATTATAAACAGAAAAACAGAAAACACCACATCAAATATTCAGAAAATCAGTGATAGAAGTTCCTGCAAAGCCAAGGACTAAGATGTAAATAAGATATTTGCTTTCCTCGTTTTTAACATATTGACAAAATGCTGATTGTGGGATGTGGATGTAGATGTGATGGAGGGTATAGGTCTAACCAGGTTTTGGGATTACAAAGGATTTTGATCTCTTAACTTGGACTAGATTCTAAGCACTGCCCTTGAAATGGCAGATGCTATAACCCACCAATTAATTACCCTTGTATAAGTTACATAAACTACCACTGCTTTTAGCTCAACCTTACCTTTCAACTATCAGGTACTGACCCATACATTCTCTAAGTGCCTAAGGAATATTTTATTATAATAAAGATGATGAAAATGAATATGATGGATAATAATGGCAGTACCTTAAGGTGTCAATGATATGCCAACACTATTTACTGACATTCCTGACTTGTTCTTTCCTTTTATTTTTTGTCACCAAAGAAGAAAGTCAGCGCATAAAATTTTATGTCCCTAAATGAATGGCATCTTATTATATTCCTCATCTCCCTGCCCTTTCAAATAGTCATCTGATGATCAGTTTTATGATTCATTTATGAAATATACTTTGAGTGGAAAACTAACTAGATTTTAGTTTCTACCTTTGAAGACTGACATAACTATTTTCTGCTTTTAGAGTCTTTTTTAAAACTATTCTTTTTTCAAGATAAACACATGCAATTTGCAGCAACATGGATGGCGCTGGAAGGGATCATGCTCAGCGAAATAAGCCAAAAAGAAAAAGAAAAATACCGATGGTCTCACTCATAGCAGGAATCTAGAAAACTTACATAAAGGACCAGGAAAATGAATAACTATAAGAAAGTGAAAATCAAAATCAACAAAAACTATGAACCAGAGACACTTTTTGGGGGGTGGGGGGTGGGAGGGGAGGGATTGGGGTCAGAATGGGGGGGTTGCAATTGTATGGGGAATATAAAAATAAAATTTATTATTTAAAAAAAATAAAAATAAACCAATTATTTAATTGAAAAAAAAAAAAAAGACACAACCTATGAAGCTATCCACAGCCACTGCAGCACGAATTCGATTCCCCAGACGGGCAGGGAGCAATCCACATGGCGCAGCAGACCTCTCCTGACTCGCCCACTGCTCCCCTCAGCAGTGTGTTTCAGTCAATCTACCTGTTCTGTCCCCCACTCTGTCTCTGGTGAATTCTCTCGCCCCCCAACCCCGCACCTCTGGCCTGTACCCCAGTTCTTGTGTGCATAAATAAATCTCTAAAAAAAAACTATTCTTTTTTCAATATTTAGCATGTTATATAAATTGAGACAAGTTCCACATATTTAGGGAAGCTAGCAACATGAGACACAGACTGGGAGGTAAGTTGTTGTTTTTTTTTTTTCTTTTCTTTTCTACAGCTTGTGGTTCACCAACAAGCCTGGCATGACCAATGTGTGCCAGATGCACTTCTTGAAGGCAGATGCACTTCTTGAAGGCTAAAACATACCAAGTGATTCATCACAATTTAAACTAATGGAGGCTGGTATGTGGAAGGAAAGGCCATCTCAGATGCCCATTATTTCATGAGCTATCATTTCTTCAGCCCCAGGTTGACCTCTAACCACAGTTAGTACATTGTGCTTTGTTAGGGGAACTCCAAGATGAATAATTTATGACACATTCATTCTTTCCAGGGTATTTAAGACTAAAGAGAAAGACAAACCAGCAAACCAAGAAATAATGGTAGAAAGTTTTTGATATGAGTAAACACAGGGCTCATGGAAGCACAATGGAAGAAAAATCACTTATGTCAGGGAGAGGAGTATCAGGAATGTGTCCTGGAAAAGATAATGCTCAGTCTTAAACTATTAAAGAGGATTTCACCAAATCCAGGAAGCTGAAGAAAATTTTTAAAAGGGAAGTAGACAGAAAAATAAGAGTGTGAAGAGCTGGAGAACCTCAGAAAGTTTGGATTCACAAGGTCATAGAAGCCATATGAAAAAAGTGACCATGAGCCAGATATTGAAGGAATTTGAATGGCATGCCCAAAATTTGGCTTTGTATGTAGGGCATCAGAAAATCATTGAAGGATTGGGGTGGGAGGGTCATTATCTAATTTGCACTTAGAAAGATTTTTGGGGGGCTGGGTGTAGAAGAGATATTGAAATGGGTTGGAAGTAATGTCAGGAAGATGTTTTAGGAAATATGGATGGAAAAGATCTTTGAGCAAATAGGATCTTATGTCAATACAGAACAAACCAACTGTGTGGAATGTGTGTTCCTCAAATAAATTGAAGTTCAAGGTTGCAAAGACATCTTGGTGAAATAGAAACAGCATGATCTTTGGCTATCTTGTCATTTACTAGCTCTATGAACTTATGAAAGTAGCATGAACTCTCAGAACTTCAGTTTTCACTAAAATGGGGTTGTTTATAACTGCCTCTCAAAATTATTAGGATTAGAATTAAGATATGAAATATTTTTATACTATATAGTATCAGTAAATATCAGTTTGTTATCACTAAACAAAAAATCCTCTGACATTTTGAACTACAAAACTATCTTTTCACGTAAGTCTGTGCAAGCATTAAATAAGACATTTTATTTTGACTTTAAGAAAATCTTACCATTGTTTATTACATCTTAGTATTTCTTAAGCAAGAACAGTTTTTTGTTTTTTTTTTTTTTAAGATTTATTTATTTATTTATACAAGCACTGGGTACAGTCAGAAGCACAGGAGGGTGAGAATTCACTAGAGCCAGAGCGGGGAGCAGAGCAGGCAGAAGGACCGAAGCACACTGCTGAGGGTAGCAGCGGGCAGCAGGAGAGGTCTGCGCACCATGTGGGACCCTCCTCTGGTGGCCGGGGAGCAGCCGGGGATTGAACTGGTGCTGCAGAGGCTGCGGGCAGCTTCGCAACCCAGCGCTCAACCACTGCGCCACCGGGGAGGCCCAAGAACAGTTTTTAAAGTTAAAATTTCCCCATTGATCTTTTTACTTTTCACATATCTTAACTCTTGTGTCTGTACTTTAGGGCTAATAGAATAAGGTTTTGACAAAACCTACCTAAGGGATTTCTAATTTTCAGCACTTCCATGTTGATAGTAAACAGCATTAGCACTTCTAAATTTTAATAACTGAAAAGTTCTGAGTCAAAGAACGTGAATGTCTTAGCAATAAGTGGTTTTAAAAATAACAGGTGTTTACTACACTGCATAGTTTGAAATGCATTTCCCCCCAAATCCTTTGGAGACATTGATGAAGGCCAATGACATTCAAATGACAAAATATCCCTTTTTGCAATTTAAAATATAACATAAATATAGTAATTTCAGTCCTCTCCTCACCTCACCCCACTACCTGACATAAACCTGTTCATGGACACTAAATTTGGAAATGTCCTTGGAATTTATTTTTAATCATTAGACTTCCTATCATTTTAGATGATATTCTAATATACAAGAATGCATATTTAAGGATATATATGCAGAAAGACGGAACTTAATAATATAGTAATATAATATTAATAACAATGTCTAAAATTCATTGTTTTAAATGTAGATTCTGCACCCAGTACTGAGCACTTTAAATGTTTAACTCATTTATTCCTCACACCAGCCCTTTGTGGGAGATACTATTAACATTTAATATTTAATAAAAGTGAATCATGGGTAAGTCTTGTAATTTTCTCACTTTTGCAGGTTAATAAATGGCAAAACAAGACTCTAATGCAGGTCTGAAGATTCCAAAGACCAACATACTAACTATATTTATGCAGCCACTCAGAAATCACTTTGATGAATGGCTTCTAGTTTATATTCCATACAGACCATATGAGAAGCAGCAGGACTATGAAATGTTGCCAGTGGGTCTAGTAGCGTATCAGGGGGAAAAATTAAGAACTTACTTGTGACTGGTATCTGTGCAGAAGAGTTATATCATCTCTCACCAGCGTCATATCGGGTAAATCTGATGAGTAACATGGAAAGCTAGCGAGGAGCTCTTCTCGTTTGCTGGCACTGATATTGTCAAACACTGGGTAATGGTCCACAGATGCAAATTCGCTCGCTGCACATTCATAGTAGGTACCTGTCAGCAAGGTCACCGCCAGCCAAGTTAATGGAGCCACAAGTGCCCTCTTGGTGATGCTGAAGAACCTAAGGCAAGCCAGCTTGCGTTCCAGGAGGCTGATTTTCCGGTGCCGAGGGGCACAGCTGCAGCAGTATTCAGTAGTAATTGTCCACATCTGGCTTCTCAGAGCATAGCCCACAACCAGGAGGATCAAGGTAGGGATGACTAGAAAAGCAGACCCGTAATAGAAATTTTTCCCAACCTGACAGGGACATCCAAACGTGAAAGAGGAGAACAGTTGTTGCCCACCAATAGTCAAAGCACCAATTAAAGAATTAATACAGGTTCCACTTTTCTGCAGAGAAGATATAAGACTCTGAAAAGTCGGGCTCATCTTGGGAAGCTCTTACACAAATCAGCTGTGGCCCTTTCTGATCGCTGGACTCCAGCAGCTATAATCATTTTATGGAAGCTTACTGGTTAAACTGGTTGTGTCAAGTGACCCATCATCCTTACATGTTTAAAGGATTCTAGCATCTTTCCTTGTGTAGCCCATGAATCCTGAAGCAATAAATGCACTTCAGATTACAGCTGGAAGAAACCACAGGAGGGATTCATCTGGTATAGGTGAAGGGAGAAGATTCTTCAGTATATCTTTGCACTAACAAGAGGATGATTTGTTTGCAAAGCAATAAAATGATCAAATATTTAAGAAGTTTTCTCTATGTAATCAGAAAATATTGTATAGCTTCTAGATAAAAGGCATGCATGGATTAGATTTGGTTGGACTCAAAAAATGAATATCATTTTTTATTCTCAAATAAACAATGTTTATTCTCAAATAAACATTCTCAAATAAACATTCTAATATATAATCAATGAATTAAAACATCATGTTGAGGAAATCACCCAAAGACCAGTACACAAAGACAATGAAATTAAATAATATATTTTAAAAAGCAGTTATGGAAAACAGAAAGGAGATTAAACACCTCCATGGTTTGTATAATAACAGTTCCAGAAGAAAAAAAATGAAAGTATAGGCAGAGAAGTAATATTTGAAGAGAAATAACTGAGAATGTTGTGGAATCAAAAAAAAAATTCACATCAAAAGAGTGTTAGATGTTCTTAGCAGTGTTAAAAATAGACCTAAGTGTAGTTGTATCATAGTAAAACAGCAGAATGTGAACAATAAAAGACATAGTCTTAAAAGAGAAAGAAAAGACATAACCCACAGAACAAGGCCAATAGACTGACAGGGTACTTCTCATTAGGAACAATAGACACCAGCCAACAATACCCACAGTGTGCTTGATACCAACTAAATTACCACTTAAGACAGAGCAAGATAAAGATATTTGAAGACTAAGGGAATTTAACACCCTCAAAACTTCATTCAAAAGATTATTAAAAGATACAATTCAGCACAGAGAAAAATGAATTCTGACGGACGATACAAGTACATATATATTCTAAAATTCCTTTATTTAAAGATTAGCTGTAGAAATATTTTTATTTCAAAAGTTACAACTAAAACACTACCTAGTTATCATAAGATATCACTACTAAAATCAATAAAATTGAAAAGACTGACCTTGCCGGTCAGGTGATAATGCAAGGTAGCTGCAACCCTCACTCTTAACTTTGGAAATGTAAAATGGAACAGCCAGTTTGGAAAATTGTTGTTTTCTTTAAATGTTAAATATTCTCCTGCCTTATAACATAGTCATTTATCCCCTAATTATTTACTTGAGAAAAATGAAAATATATGTCTACATGAAAACTTGTATGTCCATAGCAATTTTATTTATAATAGTTGCAAACTGAAAACAACACAAATGTCTATCAACAGATGAAAGAATCAACAGTGTTATATACCTATATAAAAGAATACCACTCAGCAAAAAAGAGAATAAGCTATCAACATATATACAATAACAGGAAGGAATTAAAAGTAATTTTCTGAATGGAAGAATTCAGGCACACGACTACAAAATGTATGACTATATTTAAATAAAATTCTAAACAAAGTAAATTGATCTATATGGACAGAAAACAGACTTGTACTTGCTTAGGGGTGGAGGAGTAGGAATAAGAAGAATCTCCAAGAGCATAAGCAGACTTTTGGGAGTTATGTCCATTTGTAGCTCTAGGATCTTAATTTATGGAGGTGATTGAATGATAACCTGGAATGGTCAACGCATGGAAAGAAGAATTATTGTTTTGCCATTTGAGGAAGGCACAGCAGGCTGCTCAGGCCACCAGAATGGGACAGAAGGCAAAAAGAGGAGGGGAAAGGCTTAGCCAGACCCTTTACTGGGGTTTCCATGGGAAAGTCAAGGGAGGACAGGGGAAACATCTCAGGACTGGTGGACTTTGGGGAATGCAGACTATGGCTACTTGGCTACTCTGCAGACTACGCAGACTACAGCTACTCTGTTACCTGGTCCTGGGTCCATCTAGAGCAGGGGAAATGTTGGCTTTGTGTATGAGTTGGAAAATGTGGTTCAGGGTGGGCTCTGGATCACAGGGGAGATATACACTATCTTGACTGTTATTTTGTCCTCATAACAATTACCATCGATGCATGAAAAATAGGCAAATAAAGAATCTGAGAAAATAATTAAAACAGGAGTGATGGAAATGTTATTACATTGATTTGATGATTTCACATGTCAAATTAATCAAATTACACATCAATTATAACTCAATAAAGCAACAATAATTGGATAATCACTAAATAATAATCACTAAATAATAGAAATACAATATATAGACCATTTAAAACAGAGGAAATGGAAAAAAAATGAAAGAAATAGTAAACAAAGGGGAAAGGATGGTAAAAAGAATACACAAAATAATGGTCAAAATGAGACCCAACACATCAATAACGACAGAAACAATTTTAGATAACAATTTACTACATGCCAGAAACTATTCTAAACCCCACAATAACTTTATGACGTAGTACTAATGTTATTATCAGCTTTATACAGATGAGAAAACTGAGGTGTAGAGAAATAATGGAAATAGCTCAGGCCTCACAGAGATGAAAGGGAGAGCCAGGATTGGGACCCAGGTGGTCTGGCACATGCTCTTACCTATCACATCAGAGCCAGAGTAAATTCACAGAGTGAATAAAAATTAATCATGCTGCTTACAAGTGACACACTCCAAGCTGTACCATAAAAATAAAAAGTATATCACCAGAAACAATAATGTTTTAGTATAGCCAAGACTGAAGGCGAAATTTGTCAAAAGGGCTAATTTTAACTACTCCATCATAATAAAATTAGCAAAGATATTATGCCTTTTGTCATTTTCTGTGTGCCCATTATATCCTGAATTCTCAGGGTGGCCCTGATGTCACCACACCAGAATCATCAGAGCTCAATGAAACTGATTCTTACACCACAACTCCCCAGCTACCAAGTACATAGAATTTTTCTGTTTTTCTTAAAGAATCTCTCATTCAGAACCTAGAACTGCCAAGAGCAGGGAGGATGAATAAGAAGAGAGCTGCTGTCCCCATACCTTAGTAGCTTATATGACTCTAAAATATTTCACTTTAACATGGAATGAGCAGCAGAATTTTTTTTCATTTGGAGTCAGCAAATTTAGTTCAACCCCATCTTTTTGTGCCTACTCTCAAGCTAACATTGAACAAATTTCTTAACCTCTCTGATTTTCAGATTCCTATCTTATAAAATGGTTAATAATTCCATATTGACAACCTCACAGATTGTAGATGAATTAAAAGGAGATAAAAAAGTGAAAATCATGTTGTAGTGGTATTTCTTATATAGATAGAGGTATTATTGATTTGCTGTTAAAAGTTCCCCATACCCCACAACTAAGCAAAACTGATTTTCCTGAGAATGGAACATACAGCATAGGTACCAACAGAATTACCTTCAATATTGTAGCAGATAGCCACCTACAAGAACAATCTATAGTAATTAGTGTTTGTATAGTTCATTAGAATGTGTTTTATAGCACACATTATCTCTTTGATACTCACAATTATTCTGTGAGGTGGTATTATGACTGCCATTCGGCAGATGTGGAAACTGAGCCATAGAGCAATAAAATAGTCCAAGGTCATGCAGCCTGTAAAATGGTGGCACTGTGGCTTAGCTTGAGTCTTCCAACTCCTTCCAGATTCTTTCAACTACACCACAGTTTGCTTCAAAGACAGTAGTCAGTCACTTTATAGGAAGAATTTTCCATCAAATAGGGCTAATGGATTAAAACCTTAAGATGTAGAAACTATTTACTTAACCTGCATTTTATACTTCTATTTTTGGAAGAGTTTTGACCTTTCATGTCCTGCAGTTGTCAAGATCAAAGGGTTTGTTGTTTTAACTTTAAATATCTACACTTCTACATAAGTAAAGAGAGCCTTAAAAGCAAACATTTCAGGGACTATCAAAAGAAAACTAAGATGTTGCTTTCTCTGCCAGAATCATTATACATTATTAAACTGTAGAACACCCATTTTGATCAAGTTTTATAGGAAAATACCGGCACGCAATTCCATCACTCCTTAAAAAATTGCTCTTTATGATGACTTGAATTTTGTCATCACACAAAATATAGTTCTGTGAAAGCCTTTAGAGTTGCTTAGGTCTGAGCCCAGGATTTAGTGCCTATGGATTGCTGATGCTGTCTCTAATTCACACAGCAATCAATAAAAGACAGAATGATGCTAACATTTAGGTCTATCTTGGATTGTGAAGATTTCTGATTGTGATATTACAACAATGTCTTGGCATGAGAGCAAAACACCACTCTTATACTCCCTTGGGCTAAAGAATTTTCAGTAACTGGTGCTTCTGGCCTGACTTCCCATTATCAGCTTTTATGCTTCTAAATTACAATTCCTCTCCACCAGTGAAGTAGTGTTGGTCAGTGGCAAGGAACGTGGTTACAAGATTGAGTCCTTTTCTGACTGTTTTCCTCTTGGGCTCAGCAAAGAGCAAAAGCAGTAGAGTGCAGCAGTAGCGCTGTGTCTCCAAGCAAGGAAGAACTTGGGAAAACAAAAGAAGATCAAAGATAAATAATACCTTAAAGGTAAAAGCCAACAAAAGAAAATCACATTGTTTATCAAGAAATATGTCTCGACGGGCACACAGAAGACCGGAATATCATAAAATAGTAAGAACTTTTGATAAAAATATTCCCAAAGAGATTTTTTTCTGTTTTGTAGAAAACTTTTTTGAGTGATTTCTGATTTATTTTGAAAGGTGATGCTATCAGCTGACTTTTTCAGCAGTACTAGTATTTAGAGGAGTAAATCATAGATGATGCTAGGGTCTCCTTTTCTGACTAATTTTAGTTACAGAAGAGGCAAGTTTTTGTCTCTGACAGAAAATATGAAATGATTAAGCAATGCTTATATTTCCTTATAATTTGTTGTATTTCCTAATTCATGGACTAGGAAATGAAATGTATATAATTTATGATATAGTAATTTAAATAGGAATAGGTCAACAAAAACTCAGTATCAAAATTATATCTCCTAGTCTTAAGTAGTTTTGATTGTAAGTTTGTATGTACTATTATCCTTCTGTATAGTCTAAGTGTAGAGCGATATTTAAAGCAATTATTTGTAAATTACATTTGGGGAAATCTTCAATCCTCTCTGATTATAGTTTTAGGCATTCAAAAGTTACAGATGTGAAAATGCATCATTAAGTTTAAAGTCCTGTTAATTATTTTGGAAGACTGATAGACATTGCATAAAATTATGTAATTTCAGCCATAGTTACTTAGAATTGTCTGACTAACTGGCACATCTCAGGGGAATGACTGCAGACGTGCCCTCTGATATTCTAGGATCTTGATTTATTTTTATGTGGGACTTTCAAATACTAAAAAAAAAAATGTAGATACCTCTTTTTGTACCTAAATTACCTGTTTTACATATATCCAAAACCTCCTGAAAGAATTAATAGTGTTCTATTTCTCATATATGAAAATAATTGTTTTTTATTTTAACAACTATGGAGATAATCTATGTTGACCTTTCTTATGATCAGTGGTATGAGTTTGAGGCCCTTTTGGACATGTCTTCAAGGTACCGATTTGGTCATGAAACTGAATCAGAAGACTGGTATTTGTGGGTATTAAACATGAAAGTCAGCTGGAAGTTAAATATAATTAATAACCATCAGAATAACAGAGAGAGAGAGAGAGAGAGAGAGAGAGAGAATGGGTTTTTGCTAGCAGAAGTAAAACAAAAGAATTTGAAAAAGAGAAAAAGGAGATAAAAATATGCCCTAACTACATGGCAGAGCTTCAGCATTGTGTTCATTAATAATTATAATTTAGACCAACCTGAAATAATGACATTCTCTCTCTCTTTCTCCCCCCACTCTCCTCTTCTTGCTTCCTCTCCCAACCTTTGCTTATTTTCTGCAGCAGTATCAGAACACAGCAGTAATTAATCTTCTGCTGCGACCCCTTAATGTTTGGCAGATAGTTCATATATAATTTACAGGCATTTTCTGTGATTTATGATTAGGTTTTTGAAAGATTTAAATAGGAACAAAATTAAAATTGAACGTATGGCAACCCTTCAGTGATTTAAGAATATTTTTGTTTAAAATACTTGCTTTACATCCCTTGTTTCCTAGTAGAAATATTAATGTACTCATTGTTTTTCCATATCTGAATTGTATATATTAGTGTCCTTAATGTAATGTTAATTAATGTATATAATATATATTCCACACATATTTGATATTTTGATCTATACTTTTCAATATTAAGTATGTCTCCATGTGCCATATAATAGATTATATCTATTAAAATTTATTTAATTATAACATTCTACCCAATTACAGACATATATTGTCATGATACAAACCCTTACATAAGAGAGTGAACATTGGTATGTTGGGTCAATTTTGGAAGAATTTGAATTAAAATTATGTAACATTTTATAGAAGTCACTTTTTTAATTTATATTTTTATTGTATCGATTTATACTGAGGTAACATTGGCTTACACACTCTAGATGATTTATGGATATAGGTTCATACCTCTTCAGATGCATTTTCCGCACTATGCCCACCACCAAAGTCCACAGTCCTTTAGTCCACTGGACACCCCTTACCACGTAGACCTCACTCCCACATACTCCCCTCTCATAGTCTCAATTCCACAGTCATATCTAGGGTTTGTTTTGGTTTACTTTTTACCTGTTTCTGGTAATTGTCTTTCTCCTGATTTATTTTGTACTTTTTATAGCTCAGTCCCCTCTCTTTCCATCCATGCTGTCACAAATGTTGATTTGTTGAACCATTTCCGCCTACACTTAAAAGAAAAAAATAAAATCCATACTATAAAGGCCTTATTTTCCCCCCACCCCCACCCCAATGCTAGGTTACGCAAGATATCTGGGCCTAGAGTAAGGATACCTCTTGTACCCTGGAATCCATGTTTGACCTTTTTTTTTTTTTTTTTTTGTGGGACCCTCGCCGGCGGCCGGGAGCGGAGCTGCAGAGGCTGTGGGCAGCCTCCCAGCCCAGCGCTCAACCTCTGCGCCACCAGGGGGGCCCTCCATGTTTGACCTTTTATGAAAATGCAAGATCATGCAGAAAAAGTTATCTTCGACAGTGCTTCCCTTTCTTACCTCCACCTCCCACCCACTTGTATTCCAAACAGTGTTTGCTTTTGTGCCCTTCAGAGATAATTGCTATGTCAGAGTGGAGCCTTCAGTCAAGGCTCCAACCCAGCTCTGCCAAATGCTGGGCAATTGGGCAAGTCACTCATTCCTCCCAAGACCTCATTCCTGCTTCTGTAGGACTGAGAGAATTTGAATAAATTGTCTCTAAAATCCCCTTTCCTTTCTTAAATAGTATTAAAGCATAGAAACAAAAGATTAACAAGAGAGCAGAAACAAATAGATTGATTGAACTTAGCATTTTGTTTCTCTTATTTTCACCCTATCTATGCTAAACTAAACCTAAACTATCCTAGTATTAGTTTTACTTTTAATTCACTCCAAAGATTATTTTGGAGATCCGGAAAGAAAGTACAAATTCTTTTCTCTAAGTGTAAAGAAAAATATAACTTATAAACTTCTGCTATAATTGGGTTCATCCTGATGGTCCCCTTGGCAGATCTGGAACCCATGAGGATTGTGCAGATTCCTGAGAAGTCCCCCTCAATTCTTTATAGCATGGTCAGCATATACCAAAGGCCATTCTAGAACAGTAAGAATTTATTTTGTCAGTTTTTTAAAAAACTTCCTCCATGTAAATGCATCACAACTTACATTATGCAAGCAAATGCATAAGATGTTTTAATGTTAAGAAATGTGTATTATTAATTTCTTCTCCCCCCCTCAACGATATATCCAAATATGGGTGCAGTGCTCTCAAAAAGTAAAAATTGTTAAATAATTGTTAAATAAAATTGTGAAAAAACTGTTAAATAAAATTGTTTAAAAAATTGTTAAATAATTAGTAGGAGATAGAAAAAAGGAACACATGATCTTGAAGACTACTTTTGACAATAAGATTTTTAATTTTAGGAAAAAAGTAATTTATTGTTGGTAATTTTATCATTATCTTTCTCCAGAACAAGGATCTTTTTGTTCTAACCTATGGAGCCCTGGTTGCCCAACTGTGTAAGGATTATGAAAAAGATGAAGATGTGAATAAATATTTAGATAAAATGTAAGTAGAAGTCTTTCCTTATTGTGGAAAACACAGCATGTCTCAACATCCTCTGCATTTTGTCTGCCTCTAATGACTTCCCTTATTCCATTTCACCAGCACTTTTAGTGCAATAAATTGCATCATAGACTTGACATAATTCCCTACAATGGCATTTGGGTTGGTACCATAAAATAAGGAATTTTTTTCCTATGAATTTCAAGTATCGGACTTTTTTAAAGTTAGAAATAATCTATTTGCTAGTCACTTACAAGCAAAGGGTGTGGTAAAACTGAAATAGTTCTCTTAACAATATGATGGCTAATTAAATTGGGTCCTTCCAGTCTTTTAATAAAACTCTTTCAAACATAAATGTATGCTTATACAAGCATAGACCATCTGTGGAAGTCTACGCAAAAAGAACTACTAATTGTAGTTGTTTAAGAGAACTGGGAGATTGGGAATTAAAGATAAAAGGGAAATTTTCATTTTCTAACATAGTGTTTTTATTATTTGAATGCTTTTATCATTATTATTCTTTATTCTAAAATCTATACTGAATAAAAAAACCGACACCATCCTCTTTTAATAAAGCTCATTCTCCCTGCTTAAATAATGGGGATTTCTCTGCCTTTTAAATTCCTCAGAATTATAAGATCATCAGTAATCATCAGATTATTGTCCAATAATCAGATATCTGTCAATATTTTGAATCTTTCAATTATGGATCCTGGAAAGGGTAAAGATTAGAAAACCTGTACTAATTAGAAAATTTAGTTAGACAGGAGGGGAAACAACCTTATTGGGCATTCTAGAGCTTTTTAGAAAAATGATTTATTGCAATTTCTGTTAGAATTCAGAACAAAAAAAAATAGAAAGTTTGAAAGATTTTATTTGAAACTTTGGTTCCTTCCTTTCAGTATGCTTAGCCTTTCTCTATCGAAATTTTCTTTTCCCATTGTCCTGTGTTTATTTTGGCCCATGTGATTTTTTTTTGTTACTGCATTTTTTCTTAATTATTCAAAAGCATACTCTCAACTAAACTGTGGGAGCTTCTTAGTTTGTTTTACTTAGGGCACACTTACACATGTGATACAGCATTTCCAGAAGTTATTCCATTTCATTTAGCTTATGTTAAGTTGCATTATTGTGTGGAATAGCTGTAGAAAATGAAGACACACATCTCATTAAAAAATACCTTTTTGTAAGTATTTAACCAATTTTAACACTATGAATGAAATATTGAAGAATAAATTTTGAGTCTCCAGAAAGACCTTAGAAAAAGCAGTAGTTCACATTTGTATTTCTTTAATAGCTTTTGCTTAGTCTTTTTTTTTTTTTTTAAGATTTATTTATTTATTTATTTATATACAAGCACTGGGTACAGTCAGAAGCGTGGGAGGGTGAGAGAATTCACCAGAGCCAGACTGGGGAATAGAACAGGCAGACTGATGGAGAAATACACTGCTGAGGGGAGCAGCGGGTGTGGCAGGAGAGGTCTGTCACACCATGTGGGACCCTCACCGGCTGCCGGGGATTGAACCGGTGCTGCAGAGGCTGCAGGCAGCTTCGCAGCCCAGCACTCAACCGCTGCGCCACCAGGAGAGGCCCTTAGTCTTATATTTTTAATGTAATATAGACATAGTATATATAGTTAGGGGAAATATACTTTTCCCCAAGGGCATATTTCTCATATATATATACATATATATTACATATTGCTCTGATCACAATATTTTGACATTCCACCACAGTTTCCATCATGAGCAACCAAATTTGTAGATTTGCATAATGATATACAAAACACTGGAAACATTTTTTAATCCTGGTACAACTATATTTGCAAAGTTCATGTTCTGTTCTTTTAAGGTCTTGTAAGAGTGAACATCCTGGCTAGAATTATAAAGCATTTTTCTCAAAAGGCAAGTAAGCTAAAGGAATTATTTCTGTGTGTTCAGAAACATAACATAGATATAATGACTTCATGAGCACTGTGACATTAACTCCTGTTCCTTCCCAACCATTCAGTCATCAAATCTCCCCTATATTACATGCTATGTGGGAAGTATTACCTCTACAAACTGTGGTGCTTTTATCTCTTGTATCCTCTATTGCTTCATCCAAATCATTCCACTTGTCTGCATACATGTTGCTATGAAATTAAAATATTTTTTAAATTTATTTTTTATTTTTTGAAATTAAACCATTTTTGTGACAGTGGTTTATAAAAGTATCTTTATTCCTCTTCATTTCCACTACTAAGTTATATTCCTCAACTAGATTGAAAGTTCTCAGGCCTATCTCGTTGAAGGTGTCTGCCCAGCCATTTAGCCACACTCAATTCTGTGAGCGCATCTTAGTAAATGCTTTCAGAATTGTCCTTCAGCCATTGGCTGTGTGGTGGTGTGCACAAATAATACAAATACCCTCTCTCCCAAGTCCCATAGATTCAATTTCCCTGGAATGAGAAATAAGTTTTCTAACTTGGCTCTTGTTTTTCTTTTCATTAAATATCAGAGTTCTAAGTGCTAAAATCTGCATTGGCAACAAAAATTGATTTCTCAATTTCCTTCTTCCTCTCCTTTGAGAACCTATCCTGGACATGTCTAGCCGCCTAGCCTAACAGCTATAGTAAGCAAAGAGTGAGAATCCAGGTGCCCTCTCCTGTAGCAGACAAGTTAGCTAGACCTTCGTTCTGATCCTCTTAATAGCTAATTATAAGAAAGGTAGTTGCCAGTGAGAAACGTTAGGCTAAAGACACCAGCCTTCTTTGATTTTAATTTACACTGTCGAGTTTGGATTAGTCTTGATTCCAGTCAGACTCCATTGCTCGTAAGAGACTGAACAATATTTTCCAAATGTATTGGTCTCTGCTTCTGCAAACTGTGGGACAAATAAGGAACCCATTGCCAAATAGCCATTTGACAAGTTTGGTTTTATTTATTTTCCACTTGTGCAAGTGCTACACAGAAAAATCAACACTGCCAGATTTCACTAATTACTTAAATATCATTTTTAGAATACACTCTTTCCTTCATCTACAGGGGATATGGCATTGGAACACGCCTGGTAGAAGACTTTTTGGCTCGATCCTGTATAGGAAGGTGCCATAGTTATGCAGAAATTACAGACATAATTGCTCAGGTAAATGCATTTCAGCCCTGTCAATATGGTTTTAAAATCTTTGATTTCTTGTAAGTGTGGGGGGTTTCTGCTCTGGTTGAACAGGTTTCATCTATATTCCTTATCAGGTACTAGAAGAGGAGGTTCATATTAATAAGCCATTTTATTTTAGCGCAGAGATAAAGCTATTGTCAGCAGAAATACTTTCAGGCATGTAAGCATTTTTAGCTTTTCTGACCACTTGGCATATGAGGATTGTATGTCCTACATTGGGGAAAATGTTATATGAACAGAAGTAGCATGTAATAACAGTCGTATGGCATGCATACTCAATATCAATTAATTTCTTTATATAATCATTTTCAGCACATGGGAGAAGGTAGACTTTGACTGTCTCAGAGAATATTGTTGTATCATTTTATTCTCTGAGAAATGTTTTCCCAAGAGAAAGATAAAGCTTCCCATAAATGTTACGTACTCTAAGAACTTTCACTTCTGTAATACATGAGAAACAACTTGGAATCATGTGAGACTTGCTCAAGTTTCATAGATGAGATCAGGAAATGCATATGTACACAAAGTTCCTTTAATCTGCAGGTCTATTGTGGTAAACATAGAATTGTTCATTTGTGGGAGATCTAGAAAGTTTAAATGGATATGAGATATAAATTTATGAGGGCCAGGTATTTTGCCTCCAGTTTTTTAAAAACATCCAAGTAAGTCATTCTCTTTCTTCATTACTCGCCTGATTTTTGATAGTTACACAACTTGAAACTGATTCTTCATCTAAATCATCATAATAGTTCTACATAGGGTTTGGTGATTCCAGATGGTTTATTTTATCTTTCATTCTTATAGGTTCCCTGAGAAGTAGGCAGCAGATTATCCCCATTTTATAGATAAGAAAACTCCCAGAAAGAATATGATAAAAACTGAATACTAGTTGATGTGAAAAAATATATACATTCAAAAAACAATCCAAATAAATTGTTTCCCATTTATTACTTTTATCTCATGACGAGTGAATTATCATGTTGAAATTGAAATCTATATGTTCCAGTCCTACTGCGGTGAGTTTACTACCCCGCTAAAGAGTTTTTAAAAAATCTCTTTCCATGTTTGCAAAATGTAACTAAGATCCTGAAGTGGTAGGTTTGAGAAAGAAAAAGAATTTTCACTAAACTAATTCTATGGGCAATGCTACTAGAATAACAACTATTTCATGGAAAGTAAATAGTTGAATTATAGATACAGATGTTGTGTTCTATTTCTGTGAAAAAAAAAATGCCTTTGAAATTCTGATAGAATTACTTTGAATCCATAGTTCACTTTGGGAAGTATAGAAATTTTAAAATATTGTCATGAGCAAGGAATGTTATTCCATTTGATTGTGTCTTGCTTAATTTCTTTCTTTTTATAGTTTTCTATACACACGACTGTCGCCTCCTTACCTAAGTTTATTCTCCTTAGTTAACTTTACTCTTAGGCATTTTATTCTTTCTTGGTGCTATTGCTTAATAGGAGTGCTTTCTTCTTTTTGAATAATTGTTAGTATATAGAAACCCAGCTGATTTTTGTCTGTTCATTTTGTATCCTGCAAACTGAAATCATTTATTAGTTATAATTTATTTTAGGAGTCTTTAGGGTTTTCTACATATGAAAAAAATATCATCTGCAGAGATAATTTTACTTTTTCCTTTCCAATTTTTATTTTATTTTTTTTAGAGGCATGTTTTTTATTTATTTATTTATTTGTTTGTTTGTTTGTTTTGTTTGTACATGCACTGGGTACAGTCAGAAGCGCGGGAGGGTGAGAGAACTCATCAGAGCCAGAGCGGGGAGCAGAGCGGGGAGCAGAGCGGGGAGCAAAGCAGGCAGAAGGACCGAAGTACACTGCTGAGGGGAGTAGCGGGCGGCAGGAGAGGTCTGCGCACCATGTGGGACCCTCATCCGGTGGCCGGGGAGCAGCCGGGGATCGAACTGGCGCTGCAGAGACCGCGGGCAGCTTCGCAACCCAGCGCTCAACCGCTGCGCCACCGGGGAGGCCCATTTTTTATTTTTATTTTTTTGCATAGTTGCACTGGCTAAGACTTTCAGCACTGTATTGAATAGAAGTGGCAAGTGTGGGCATACTTCCTTTGTTCCTGACCTTAGAGAGAAAACTTTCAGTTTTTCACCATTGAATATGGCAATGAGGAAAGAATTATCTTCTCAACAAATGTTACTGGGAAAAATGATACTTACTTGCAAAAGAATGGATTTGGAACATATCTTATACTCAAAAATAAACTCAAGGTAGATTAAAGACTAAAATAGAAGTTCTGAAACTAAAAACCCTAGAAGAAAACATAATGGAAAATCTTCATGATGTTGGTATTGGCAGAGATTTCATGGATATGACACTAAGGGCACAGATAAAAAAACAAAATGAACAAGTGAGACTATCAAACTAAAAAACTTCTGCACAGTTATGGAAGCAAGAGAGTAAAAAAGACAACCTATGGTATGGGAAAAATATTTGTAAACCATTTATTTGATAAGAAGTTAATGTCTAAAATATGTAAGGACCTCCTATAACTCTAGTTTAAAAAGAACCTAATAACCCCATTAAGAAAGGTTAAGGATTTAAATAGATGTTTCTACAAAGAAGACTTTTATTTTTTAAGATTTATTTATTTATTTATACAAGCACTGGGTACAGTCAGAAGTGTGGGAGGGTGAGAGAATTCACCAGAGCCAGAGCGGGGAGCAGAGCAGGCAGAAAGACCGAAGTACACTGCTGAGGGGAGGTCTGCATGCCATGTGGGACCCTCCTCCGGGGTCGGGGAGCAGCTGGGGATCAAACCAGCGCTGCAGAGGCTACAGACAGCTTGGCAACCCAGTGCTCAACTGCTGCGCCACCGGGAAGGCCCCTAAAGAAGACATTTTTAAATGCCCAACACTAGTCACTAGAGGAATGCAAATCAAAACCATAAGATATCACCTTATATCTGTCTAAATGACTATTAAAAAACACACATACAGGGCCTCCCCTGGTGGCGCAGGTGATAGAGCACAGTGCTGTAAAGCTGTCCACAGCCTCTGCAGCGCCATTTTGATCCTGGCCACCCTGCAGGCGAGGGTCTGACATGGCGCAGCAGACCTCTCCTGTCACTCCCTCTGCTCCTCTCAGCAGTGTATTTTGCCAGTCTGCCTGTTCTGTTCCCCACTCTGTCTCTGGTGGATTCTCTCACCCTCCCACGCATGTGGCCTGTACCCCAGTTCTTGTATTAAATAAATCTTTAAAACAAAAACACATGTACACACAAAGATAACAAGTGTTGGTGAAAATGTGGCAAAATTGAAACCCTTGCACACTATTGGGGATAACAGTGCAGGCACTATGGGAAACAGGAGATGGTTCCTCAAAAAATTAAAATTTAACTACTATATGATCCAATAATTTCACTCTGGGTATTTATCCAAATAATTGAAATAGAGATCTCAAAGATATATTAATACTTTTATATTTATTGCAGCATTATTCACAATAGCCAAAATGTGAAGACAACTTAAATGTTCACTGACAAACACAAATAAATGGATACAGAAAGTGTAGTTTATAAATTCAATGGCATAGTATCCTATCTTTTATTTTTTAATTTTTTCTAAAAAAATCATTCAGCAACAAAAGCTAAAAAGATTGTAGGCTGATTTTAACAGAGTATCCTATCTTTTAAAAGGAGGAAATACTGCGGTATACAGCAACATGATGATAGACAAATCCTTCGTGATTCCACTTAATATAAGTCTTCTAAAATAGTCAAATTCATAGAATCAAAAAGTGAAATGGTGGTTGCGAGGAGTTGAGGATAAAGTAAAATGGGGTGTTACTATCCATGGGCATAAAGTTTCAGTCAAGCAAGACGAATGAAGCGTAGGATTTGATGTTTTTTAGGCAACATAGTTTACACTTAAAAATGTGTTAAGAGAGTAAGTTTCATGTGTCCTCACCACAATAATTTTTAAAAGCTTAAAAGATAGAGGTCTGTTTGATATAAAAATAAGAACATGAACAACATCTACTTTTCAAATATCTCTTCTCTAAACATTTCACATCTTTATGACCTTTCTGATGTCATGGAAATTCTTGTCTGCTCATGCTCTCAATGGACTAGGTAATGATCCACTTCCACTCCCAGGCGAAATTCTTCCATCACCCTCACACCCTTTTGTGTAAAGGGTTTGTCTTTTGGTCTTTGCACTTTTCTTCAAAGGTCTGATTTCTTCCCTCTTAATCATTTCCACTTCTCCAGCAAATGTTCTTTTGCATGTGGTGATGTTGTACCCAGTTCAGGCGTACTTGAGCACAGGTGAAGGCCAGACTTCAGCTGTGTAGTCACCTGCCCATGCCTTGCTTGTAATTAGCAACGTTTATTAAAAGGTCTGAACTTCAGCAGCGTTATCACATTAATCCTTGTAATCACTGCTCAGAGGAAGCAGGTGTTAAATGTGACAGTGTCAGTTTTATAAACAAGGTAGGGTCCGACGACTTTTAGCATAGTCACATGCTGCCTGTGGATCACAGCAAAGTCAGAAGGAGGACCTAATGGCTGTGACTTTTGTTGGGCTAGCCTCTCAAACATGCTTTCCCACAAAACACGGCCACCAGCCTCTCCAGGTACTCAGCACGTATATACCGTGGCTTCCCCAGAACTCATGATCTCCGCCCCAGCTCCAGAGGAGGAGAGGTTGAAAGAGAAAGAATGCATATGAAGATAATCTGTTGGATGAAGAAAACTGCCTAAATAAGTGCACAATTCCTCTGAGAGTCAGTCAGTAAACTACTGCAAGTAGGAGTAGGTCTCCTGACCCGATACCTTACTTTAAACTCATTTTCCTCTGAGAGAGGATTATGTAACTTCTGGCATTAATAACATTTCCCTCTCTTGTTTTCCTCATTTTGCCTTTTTCAAAGGGGCGGTCACTTGGTTTGACACAGCCTTTTGACAGGCTTTAGGCAACAAATTGCGCCATCTAGT